CAACCATAACACGGAAAACAATAAAGATCAAATAGAAAAGACTTAAAAATTTTAAAAATAAGAACTAAAAGATTTAAATAAAACTTCAATAGGTAGAGCTTTGACTGTTCAATGGCTAAGTCATGATCTGGTTCGGCACGTATAGCACTGCTAATATATATATTTCTACATATGATGAAGTCGCAGTGCCTCGGTAAATTCTTGAAGTAGGGAAATGTGATATTCATGAAGGTGAACAAATACAGATAGATGTTCGTTGGTCTTAAACAGTTATCAGCCGTTTATATGCTGAACTATATACTTCGTCTAGCATGATATTCATTGCTAGGTACATCATGGACTCCAGGGAGGACATAAGTTGGTAAATTACTTGAACTGTTCCACTCAAGTGTGACATTATCGCGAGATAGACAGAGGGCCGTATATAACTTGTGGGATGATGATGATAACATCAGCACTCATGAGATAAATTCTTCCTGCTTACGCACCGCTCATTATACACTCAATTTTTACATCCATATAGATAATGTTTATACACCTAACCTGTATGATGATGAGCGATAAACGCTAAAGAGAGAAGGAGAGAGAGAAGGAGAATGTGCTCTACCCAAGGAAGTAAACAATCTCATTGATCTCGACATGATATAATAAATCATCACCATGCATTCATTCATTCATTCCCTTTTCCAAGCTTCGCAGATCAAAGTTCAACGTCCTACCTACCTCACCTCATACATTCCATTCCATTCCATCCCAATGCGAGACAAATCTCGCTCAGCTATTATTAATTCAATATATAATTTCCATGGCGGATTTCTAAAGTTAGTTGAGATATCCTAATGATCACCTTTCGTTACCTACTTAAATAATTATCTGCGTATATAAAAAGAGCAATTATTAGACGAATCACAATTTATACCTATACATGTAATACAGTACAACAAGGCTAGGATCAGGTCTTAATTCCAATTTCATTGTAGACATACAAATCTGCAGTACTCATCAATGCCCCTGAAGGTAGATTACTTCGTGGGCCAATTCGATCTTATTTCACAGTAACATGTCAGGTCTGAGTCAATCCGTAAGCCACCCATCCATCCAAAACGAAACCCCCTTCATCATTATAAGACTGCCTAGTAATGTGATTGTATGATATAGGATAGAGAGGCGAATAGTATTTCCTAACTCCTTAATACTACTAACAGGCCCAGTGACACCAATCTCCACCACAACAGCAGCGACAACAACAAAACCCACCCGAATCTAGCCACGTAGTACATAAACTAGCAGCTAAGCGAGTTTGAGTGGGTGGTCTCATAACAAATCTTTGTTTTTTGCAAATCCACTCTGCTCCATGCGTGTACGGTAGTGAAATGTCCCAAAAACCAGTTGAAGAAACGAACGTATAAAGCGAGATTATCTCGCGAAAAATAGAAGTAAACCAAACACACCATACGCTCTCAACAGAGCGGCTTAACAATTTGACCCAGTACCAGTTCATTCCTCCTCAGAAGACTCGTCTTCCTCAGCCTCCTCGAGCCATTTGAGGAAGGGTTCCGCGGCACGACGAATCTTCTTAGAAGTAGCGAGATCAACATACTTCTTACTGGCCTTGGTACCCCATTTGGTGATAACCTCCTCACTGACCAGGTCCTTGTCATACAGCTGGTGGAGGATCTTGACGATCTTGTCGCTGGACATGAGCTCGGGGTGGTCCTTGCCGAGGTTGGCCAAAAGGCGTTCGACACCACCCAGAAGGGCCTTTTCATGGCGTTCGGATGTCACCATCTAGAGGGCATGGTTAGCTTAATCACCCTTGGAGTCTATACTCTTGATGAATGGACTTACCTGTTTGAGCATTCCAGCACGCTTGGGGATTTGCGTAATGATGTTTTCATCGAAGAGAGTCTGCACAAGGACCAAGACGGTTTTGTGCTTGCCTTCAATGCCAAATTCCTTCGCTTTGATGTAGACTTGAACATCATCGACTTTGTTAATGCTACCAGCCTTTGTAGCCTCCTCCTGGATCCAGTCACCCAGTGCATCGTAGACGGTGTTTCCACCGCCTTCTCCATCTTCATCCTCATCGTCGCCACCGCCGCTGAGATTCAGCTTCGCCCGGAACTGGTCAGGAAGCTGGCTTTGACGGGCCTTGACAGCCTTCTCAGACATATCAACGGCCCACTCGTCGTCATTAACTTCGACAGGCGCATCAATAACCTGAGCATCGGCTGTGATCTTGCGAGTGAACTCGTCGTCACTAGCGGCTCCGTTCTCTTCGTTGTCATCATTCTCGTTGGATTCGTTGGGAGAGTTCTCGCCACCACTTCCATTGCCGTTTCCATTGCCATTCTGTTGGGCCAGTTGCTTGGCCTTGCGAGCTGCCTTGCGCTCAGCTTTGTCTTTCTTGCCGCCTTTCTTGGGCTGGTTCTTCAGGATGAAGCCACTGAGTTTGTGACGAAGATCTACGTCGGTACGTTGACCACAAGCTTTGCAATCGAGCACAATGTGACCGTCCTTGATGACAACGTCGGTCTCGGGGTTCTTGCATTTCTTGCAAAGGACAAACTTGTTGATGAAACCATCCAGGTAGTCCTGAAGCTTGGGTGCATCATGACTTCCGTTGATAATCCATCGGTCATCGGCAGGATCGATGTTGGTCTGGGCACCAAGCTCGAATCCGAAGTACTTGATGACGTAAGATCCGGGACGGGCAAGAGAGGCAGCAACGCTGCTCAGATTGACGACAACTGTCTTGATGCCGTTTCCTTTGCCTTCGATCTTGGTCTGGATCCTTTCCATCTTGTAACGATAGAAGGCGTCGGTGACATCGCGACGGACGTTGATAAGAGCCATTTTGACGGTATTGTTACGAAAGTGGCTGTCGGGTTTATGTTGGCAATGTGGGTTTAAGGTGGTGATATTAGTCGGAGCGACGGCGAGTCTCTTGGAGTCTTGAAGACACGGAGAACTACAATAAAGTCATTCGCAAATGGATTGCGAAATGGGCGGGGAGAGCGGGCGAAGAGAGCCAGGAGATTAGTTATGCAATGGGTTCCAAATAGTGGACATAGGGGTGACTGGATAACAGCTGTGAGCGTTGGGAGGCATTAACATGAGCGATGCTTTCCGCGAGCGTGTTCAGCCAACTGAACTGATGTCCGGATTAGAAGGTTTCCGCGGTATACGAAGCGATTGCCGCGTGAGAGGGGTAAGGTGTCTAGACACAGCGGTCTTGTCGTGCTGATACATAAACAACAAGTGTATCGTGAGGCCCTTTTATGTGGGGGTGTTCAGATGTAGAGGGACGGGAATTCTGTCGTCGTGGTCGGACTGGCAGGGCAGATGGTCACCACGAGGGTCGGTGTTGTGTCTCGACGACGATATCGGCTAGACGGGCGAGGGAGAAGGAAGAGAGTAGCGCGTAGGAATCGCTAGGACGAGAGAGAGAGAGAGAGAAAGAGATAGAGGGAGTTTTGCTGATGTGAGGCGTCGTCGTCGGACGAGTCACCTAGATGAAGATGACGATGTTGTTGTTGGAGGGTTGCAACGACGGACAGAGGCCGCGTATAACCAAGCTGAGGGAAATCAGAAGGATAGGCGTGTGAACGCTGAGAAGCCGAGAAGCTGTGAGAAGCACAGAGCAGATTGGGTGCGGTGTGCGAACGGGTTATTGTAATTTTTATTGGGTATTTTGGGAGAGAGGGGTGGTTGTGTAGTGTAATAAGATTTGTGGTGTGGATGATGGGGAAGAGGGAGAGTCGAGAAAAGCTAGGTAGGCAAAGAAATAGCGAGCGAGGGCGTGGAAAGCGGAGCACCAGAAACGCACCAGAAGAACCAGACAGAGCCAGACAGAGCCAGAGGGGGGGCCTCGGGGGCATAGGACAACGGGGCAGTGGAGCCTAGAGCGCTGGGCCTAGCGCTGGACAGAACACTGGACAGAACACCTGGACCAAAGACAATGGGCAAATAGGAACGTGCGGGAACATATGCTCTTCCTGCATTCTTTTTTACATAGTAAGTTCTACCGTACCGACACCGTACCGACACCGTACCAGGCCTCACCTAACGAGGGAGACGTACTACTTAAATAGGCACCTATCCTTAATTACGACGTTCATGAATATATCACTCTATCCCCTCTCGAACCCTCCATACTTATTTACTTGGTACAAGAAAAGACTCGTGGCAGACCCCGAGTACGTACGCACAAAGCGAGCATCCGTCGCATAGATAACTGACATGAAGTAGGTAGGTAAGGTACTACTACATACACCTACCTACACATACCTTCACTAGCGTAAACCGTACAGTATGTAAGTATGCAGGATGCAGAAAGCCGACTGCTCGCTCGGGACTTGCGAAGGGGCCAAGTGGGAAAGAAAAATGTACGCATGCCCATGAAAAATTTCCAGTGGGGACTGAACTACCTAAGGCAAGTCGTACCGTACCACAATACCCATCGATGATGGCCATCTACCTACATGTACATGTCATAGGCAGTTCTGGCCGAGAGGGAGGGGGGGCAAATACTTTATGATACTATTCTTCGCGAGTAAGGAAGTGCACATAGTATGTGTACGAAACGATGTCCGTGTAATGGGCAGACGGGATGAATCGCAGACTACTGACTGCCTAGGTACCACCGAACGACCGAGCGAGCAGAAGAGTAACGGCCGAGAGCACGGGCTACGCACGTCAGGAAGAACGGGCTGGCCTCGGACTTTACAAAACAGCCCGGCCACGGAAATACGAAACGTCGAGGCTGGCTGTTTCGTTTGCCGTACCACTGACCTGCGCATAGGGCGCCTCAGGAACCAATCCTTTACTACCCTTGTGCCGCACACATGGCAATGGCATGACCCTACATGCAGTCAGTACATTACCTTTGGTGTACCTATGTTATGTGTACGTAAGTAGGCTTGTTCGCACAACGTCGGCCATAACAAAGTGTGGGGTAGAAAAAGGTAAAAGGTAAAACAAAACGTACTGTATGTACTACGTATAGTTTGCAATGAGGGTGATCTGAACAAAGCAAATCACATATAAAGAAGATAGTGTATCACCGGAAACGAGCAACCTCTCAACAAATAACTACATCCAGCTGTCTGAACTTACTGAATCAAGCTCGGGTTGATGGATCTATTTAAATCGTGATTGATTGTATTTGTGATATCATTCAATACGACTCTTCATATTATGAATCACGGCGGAATGCTGAATGATAGGTATCACTTCGAAAGTGATAACGCATCTCCCACTTGACCTGGCCACCCAATTGACCTGGCCACCCCCCTAGCCCATACAAATAACATCGGTGCACTAATCACGTGATAATTTAATAACTTTACGAATATTAGTCGTATAAAATAATAAAATATACCATTAGATTCGTAATAAAAAGAGCTATTTAACGGTACCCTCTACTAACTTTTACGACTTATATTCGCGGAGTTATTAAGCAATACGCTAAAGTAAGCGCTAAATTAATCCTTGCTTAGCGCCCCTTTAGCGTATTGCTTAATATCTTGCTTAATAAATTTTGTAAAAAAATAGTAAAAAATACCTTTGGATTCCCCTTGAACTAACGGATTTAACGGTACTAATTATTAAACCGTACAATTAGTACTCGCAAAGTTATTAAAGATTGAAGTAATGGGATTTTATATAGGTTATTGGGGTGGCCAGGTTAATTGGGTGGCCAGGTCAAGTGGGAGATGCGTTACACCACCTGTACATGGAATACTAAATAAATGGGCTGGGAATAGCTCACAATTAAGTATAACTAGTAGATGCTGCCTAGGAACAGTTTTACGTGTGACTTTATCAAAAGGGGTTTGAAGTATGTATAAATACAAGACAGTTTTCAGAGAAGTGCGGTTGTCGTCTATTACAGAGTCTTAAGCTGAAGGAGAATTTTACTATCATTTATTTAAATACCTAGGTTAGATCTTTCATCACATCCCGTTATAAAAGGAAAGCTTGGCTACATTAACAATAATACTGTTAAATGGGCTGCATACGAATATTCATATGGAAACAAGTGGTAGTACATATTCTCTATCTAAGAAAGGAAGGAAAAGAACGAAGGCTTATAGACCCCAAAGGGGTCCGCGCCCTAGGTCCTTCACGTACGCAATTGTAGCCAACATCATATTGTTCCAATAAATACTGAGAATAGGTAACCGACGAGGCGAGGCGCGATAGGTACCTATAGTACAGACCCGATACTACTGCGGCTGTATCCATCCAGCCTCACTGCGAGGGGAGCTACCTAACAGGGTTTCCCCTCCGTTGGGTTGTGACAGGTACTACATACACGCGAGGGAGGGGGGGTCTCAGAGGAGACCATCTCGAAGTTGGTGACTGTCATATAAGGCCAGGAAACCTTCCGTTAAAGTCCTGAACTACGAAGCGATTGCGATAGGTTTCCTAGCGTACAGGGTGTTGGTGGTGGATTGGATCGATCCTTGCAGCGATTATCCTTGAAGGTGGCGATGATTGGATTGGCTGTATGGCTAGGTCTGTATATGACCGTCTGGGAATTCGGAGACCGTTTTTTAGAATTTTGAGACGATTTCAATGGTCCGTGACGACTTTTAGGCGGTGACCGTCTCCGAAATATGACTCTCAAAAGATGTTCAAATTTCTGAGACGGTCTCAGAAGTCTAAGACCGTCGTGGTGAACCGTCTCCGTTAAGCGTCCCAGGACCAGAGGTTCTTACTGAAATACCGCGATAGTACCAAATGGTACTAGAGCTGTACTATTGCCGTGGTCTGTACGTACTGTCAACTATCGATGTAGGGATCAGCACCTTCAGGCAATGCGGGCACGAGGGTTTGTAACGACGGCTCTTCGAACGGTGTAAGCTAGGCCCATTAGCTAGAAAGGGAGGGGCAGCAAGTTGCTGGTGACGGAATATCGGTCATCTATACACGTCCTCGACGTCTTCTGTACGAGAACACTGACCATCTATCTCAACGCAAGCTTCACGTTCTTGTCTTCTCCTTTCTGTTCTTGCAGCCCGTCGAGTCTTGTGGCGGGCCGCTTTCTCTGCCTTAATTTGACGACGAGATTCCTCAAAGGCTTTCGCTTTTTCCCCAGCAGTAATTGGCCTCGCACTACGAGCAATGGCAGAAAGAGTTGAGAAGAGATCTTCACGAGTAGGCTCTGATTTCATTTTCTGACCGTCAATAGCCGCAATCATCAACAGGGAGCGAAGGGCGTAGTGGGCATCATTTCCAGCCGCGTGCAAGTTAGTATATGGGATACCGAAAGTGTCGAGCATTGCTTCGAGTCCCAACCGATAGGATAGGTCCAGCGGATATTGGGCTGCCTTGACATTGTCGATGATGTACAGAGGTTGTAGTTGGATGTCAAGATTCGCCAGGGCCTTTCGATCGCTGTGATCACCGTGAAAAGCCAGGATACTATCCCGACCTAGCCGGCAAGCCAGTGATTCAACCCGCGCCTTCACTTCACCTAGCGGTACCGATTGCGACTCTCCGAACATGAACTTTCGAGATGCTGTCTTGCAGTACTTGGAGTCACCTACGACGAACTGATATGACTCCACAACATCGGTTTCACGCACCGAGTCCAGGCCCTCATGTACCAGCTGATGCAGAACTCGGGTGTCAAGTACAGAAACACCTATGTGGAGCTGTGGATTGGTGGGAAGGCGCTCGTATCCTTGATATGTGTCGACATCGATGCCTATCAAAAGCACATCTTTCATGGAAGAATTCGGCAATGTGGCTCCGAGGTGGGAGGCTTCATGCTGACGCGCATCGGCGTAGCCAAAAAGCTGTCGAATCACCAAAATTTCGTCTCGCAGTGGACTTTTAACGTAACAAGTCATTTACACCGTATCAGAAGCCTAGCTTTCTCGTCGTTGTTTCTCTGGACTACCAATACTATAGCTGGCGGTTGTTGATAATTGCGGTGACAGCATCAGTCCAACTCATACGTTTGGTTCTGCAACAAGTGATGTAATATTGTAGACGCGCGGCGTTGTGGGGAAATGTTGTTGCCCGGACGTAGCGTTACCTCTCCAAATGGTCACAAAACAGTATAGAAAACTCTAACTCAAAGATATAGCGCTGAAAGGAATCGAACCTAACCTACTATATGCCTCACTGGTCATTGCACCCTAACTATACCTACCTACTGTATGCAGTCCGGATTGGGTAGGATGGAATGGAATGGGATGGGCCAAGTTTCCGATCACCTCTCTGCAGTTAGCAACCAACTTGAATATACATTTTATATTTTATAATGAGGTTAACTAGAATTATAACATAGAAGAATTTACTTTCACAAAAGAATGGTATTATTTAAGCTACTCTCTTTACATATATATATATTTACCAAACTAAGATTTACATTTACGAAATACATGATCATCGTAATCTTTTGGGTAGGGCATAGCATCTACCAAAAACCAACAAGTTCTGGGTCACAGAGGCGCGGGAGCCGGAGTACCTAGCCCAGTTGTTGATTTTTGTTTTCGTCTTGCCTTACCCGCTAAAGGCGGAGAGAGATACGCGAAGCCATATACGTATGTGGCAGCATTCTTTAACTTTTGTTCCTGGATTTCGGGATGATTTGGTAATGCATGTATGGGGGACGTCTGTGCTGATTTCGCAGGAAGCATGGTTGTTAACTTAGACACTAGCCTCTGCCAGCCCAGGTACGGACAGACAGTACGTGCTAGGCTCTTGATTCATCACTTATCATCTCTTCAACGGATCTGTTCCGACCCATCCTTCTCCATATTTGCATAATCGTGGCTCAGTACACAGTGTTGCACAGTCCTAGGCATATGATCTGGTTGTCTTCAAGTTGGCATGTAATTCATAAACCGTCAAGCAATGGGTAATGTAAGCATTTATGCAATACCAATTAGGTATACAACACGGCAGAATACCGAGAGGTTAGATGGTAGGGAGTCAACTACCATCAGCTCAATGTTACCATGATTTGATCCACGAACAGGCATAGACGCCTGCCTTCAACGCCAAAGCCACCAGGATTTCCACATAAGCCCCGCCAATCCTACCAGTGCTTCGCTCACGTCTGTGCAATAGAACATGATTTAAAAAAACAAACAGATGTAACGCCCCTCGCTAGCTAGAAACATGTGAAGTCGAGATGTGCGAATGTAAAGGCTACCTACACACTCTGGAGAATATAAGCAACTGGCGATAGATCGTCAGGATCCGTCATTATGATATCTATACGACGAAATGATCATGCAGTTGCTTGGATGTAGCAATCCTTGGGATTTTGGCCAATATCCTTAGGTGGCAAGCCAACGCTAAGATAGGGAGTGTTACTGCTCATTAGAGAGACCAGATCTTGAGGGTCATGTCCAAGCAGGCGCTTTGCCGGCTGGATTGCATGATATCAGGATTCATTTTTAGGTTGAGGAAGTTCAAGCCCCGCGTTTTGGGCCAAGTTTTTCCACAATGTGAGTTCCCGATATGCTCGTTCACACTCTGTCTTCAGTTTATCATTTGAACTGCTGAGCTCCTGGATGGCTTGTTCTGTAAGAAGTTTTTCAAGCGTCCACTTCTCGATGTTCTGCGCTTCGTTCTGCTTCAGTTGCATGATATAGGAGACTGCTCGTTGAAGAATAGATCCTTTGTTCTTTTCGCAACCAGGCACAATCTTAGCTAGCTCATTGATACCCTCGTTGATTGTCTCACGACGGCGACGTTCAACTACCTCCTGGTTAGTGGGGCTATGAGAGGAACATAATCCACTACGGAACTTTACCTTCTTTGTGATTATCCTTTCGTTGTTTGTGCCATTCTTCGGAGCCCACCGCGAGCTTTGGCTGATGTGAAGTGCGGCTATACGGAGATTGGACTGGCCCAGCGCCATTTTGCTGCACCTGTTGCGTTATATCGTTGGGTGATGGCTCAGGCAGACCGTGAGACTGTAATATGTCATGATGACCATAGGGCGACTCTTGGTGGCCTTCGGACTCTCCGGTATTTGGTGGGACAAATGTTGCATCGGTTGTTTGGGGGACATGCAGGGTCGGATACATTGTTCCCAGAGCAGCGGCAGCTGTACTTGATGCACTAGCAGGGTCAGATGCTTCATGGCGCTCGGCTGCGGCCTGCTGTAGAGCAACGAAATCAGCCGTTGCGGCCTGTGCAGCGGCCTGAGCTGCTTCTACTGCACTCTCAACATATGCTGCAGATGGATCTGGAGTTGTTGACATAGCAGCTGTAGGAACAGAGCGTTTCGAACGCCTCGAATCGGGCGAAGAGTCGGGACCACTACGTTTCCGCTTCTGGCCAGGACTTGATGGAGTAGGTGTGTTGTAGTCTGTATGGTGGTCTGCGACGGCCGCGTCTGCCATGGCGGCCAAATGTTCACGGTTGAGATGTGTAAGAGGCTCTAGGAGTGACTCCCCTTGAGAGTAACCGTTGGTATCCATTGCGAATATCAACTCAAAAGTGTAGCTTTATATTGCCACGTGTTGTGGCCAGTTCTAAGAAACTTAGAGCCTACCAAACAGGTATAACTTTGTTTCACGTTGTCAATATCGAAAGGCCTATAAATGTCAGTACTGGAAAATCCAGTATGGGTCTTCAAAGCAAGAAATGAAAAGCTACGACATATGGCGACGGCTAGTTGAGAGTGCAGTGGGATGATATCACGTCTGTTCGTGCGCGCCTCAAGCGTGGTTGGACAATTAGAGGGGTTCCATATGAGTGAGAATGCCTGATGCAGTGGCACTCCACATGACGCGATCTACGGGGAGTGAAGCAGCCAGAGCAGGCGCGGTCCCGGATGAACGGTGCTAGAGATGCAGTAGAGTCTTGTCAGGCTGCAACTTGATTTCGCTGCATCTTGGTATATGGATGACCCTCATTTAGAGCGCATGTAGGCCTAAATGCGACATTGGGAGACATGTCTGTTGTTGTGCGCAACTGGGTAGGAAGGTAGGTAGGGAGGTACCTGGCTAGGGAAATATGTGATAGAAGAGAGTGTGGGCTGGCGGGCGGGTGGCACAGGGTAGGACAGGACAGGATGAGATGATGAGATGATGAGTGAGTGAGTGAGTGAGTGAATGATTGTTGTTGTTGTTGTTGTTGTGAAGTGGGCGATGCGAAGACGAGGAATTTTCCAAACAGGATACAGTGGTGCAGGATTACTTGGATGGAGGGTTTCAAAGAGTCTCAAATGACTGGGGACGGTTGCAAAGTCACGATGTGTGGAATTGTTATTCTGGCCATTGATTCCCAATGGAGCGAGGAGGGAAGGCGGCGGGCAGTGGCAAGCAAGCAGGAAAGCGGCAGAGCAGAGAGCAGCAGAGCAGCACCACATACCTGAAATCATGTGCCAGATCTCTCGTGGCTGGCTGGCGGGCGGGCGGGCTGGCTGCGTGCGCGCGCGCGCAGAGCAAGCTTGGATCCGTTGGGTTCAGCGGGTGGTCAGGTCAGATGACTTCACGTGCTTTGCGGACTGTCTAGCCTCGAATTGCGCGCGCAAGCATATGGGGACTGGCTGGTCAGTGGTGTCAGTGGTCCGGGATGGAGAGAGTAAGAAAGTTAAGGGGAAAAACTCGAAATCCGCGTCTGCGCGCCCAACAAAAAAAAAGCGCGACCAAAAGCAGGAGCCTGGCGAGGCCGAGGGGGGTCTTCTGCGTTAATAAATGATTAAGGTAAGGTAAGGTAGGTACTCTCACTCGACCTTTGCACCAGCACCAAGCACCAGCACCAATACCAGCACCACCGAGCTCTGAGGGAGTTGGAAGACCAGCAACAACAGCCTGTAGGTATACACTAGGTAGGTAGAAGGTGGCATGCCTGCGACTCATATGACCGACGGCGTGCACGGTCCAGCTCTAGCCATCACTACCTACCTACTATACATGTGTTTATACATGTGTTTATACCTACTCACCATCACCTCGAGGCTTGGGATACATACCTCCATGGCACGGGCCACTGCTTGTTGGCTTGTTGGCTTGATAGTGGCAACCAACCCGTTTTGAAGTTGTTGGTATGGAAGTCGAGGTACCTGCTCGTCTACTGCGCCCATGGAGGCAGGTGTCAGGTGAAGATAAACCGGTCTGATAACATACTTTGTAATCCATGTGGAAAAAGTGTGTGCCTAGACTACGGAGACCTTGGGTGATGTTCGAGATGGCTTGGTGGGCAATGTCACGGATGGATGGGGATGGTTGCACTGTAGGTACAGGTTCTCCCTCCCCTACCAGCCCCTACCTAATCGTGGTAGTCTCAGTACATGCCTATGTAGGTAGTATGGAAACCGGAGGCTTAGGTAGCTACCTACACCACAATCCATCATGGGTTCCTGAAGGTGGGCGGGCAATAATAACTTGTAAGTACTGGGCGAGCAAGAGAGGACAATGTTCCCATGCCTACAACAGCAGAAATGTAGTAGACAGGCTCGACAGAGATAGGTACCAACTGCACTGATCTACCCCACTGCCGCAGGTAGGCCACCCTTCGGCCACCTTTGACATCTAACGAATCAGCTGACCTGGCGCCGCCCATGGTGTCAGAGGGTCATCCACTGAAAGAGGCAAGGAGGGGTGGATCCTTATACCTACTGTACTATGTTATCTACCTAGATACCTACTGACTCACCCACCTCTTCTTACCTAAGAACATAACTTACCTACCTACGAAGTACTGTAAGTATGTACTTTATGAGCGCGCATCAAGGATATGAGAGCTTCAGCAAGGTACTTTTGCTCATATGGTGTACATTACCAGTACAGTAGTGTCATCCTCTCTTGATATGTTTACATCTTCCCCAGACTTATGGAAAGAAGCAAAGGGCTATTCAACCTTTTATAGGTGATCAGTATAAGAGCGCAAGTTGTATTACCCCATTTAAGAGGAGGGAAATATATAGATAGAAAGGTGAAACCCATAAAGGATGAAAGGATCGGGAGAAAAAGTGCCGCAAACCACGAAGACGCGTTAGCTTAACCCCTGCACAATACATATGTAGGTAGTATGTAGTAGTTTAGGTAGAAGTAGGTATGTATGCGCATTCTGTAGGTGTTAGTCAACGCGTTTGAAACCTGCAGATTACGAAGTATGTGCATGGCTTGAAATTACGACTGACTCTTATCAATGCAACCCCTTCGGCGAATTGGTGGTGTCGTCGGTAAAGCCCCCTCTCGAACCCTTGTGTTCCCCTCTCTCTCAGCGTCTCTGCCTCACCGTGGGGAAGGGAACTGGGGGGACGGGGAGGATGGCCAGGTCCCGTGATGTATCCCTCTCGTGACCGCCTTTGGCTGTGTGTGACTGCATATCACTGCTGTTCGCTTCCTCATCCCATGTCATCCCCCGTCCTTCGTCAGTACATGCCCGTACAAGACCTGTACTAACGATAAACCCCCTTCGGGAAGAGCCGCTCTTGGCGCCCTGGACGACGGCCAAAAGTTGGTGACATGTCCAAGTGTGCAAAATGCTTGCCCGATCACCTGTGGCCAATGGGGATAATGGCTTTGCAGCAGACTTGGATAAGGCATCAAATGAAAATTACCTACCTATGTCCTGTATCATACCGTCCTGGCTGGGTTTGGAGGACGGCATTGTTCCTGGGTCAGAGGTACCTATCAAGGAGTCCAGTTAGTTAGTTAGTTATTGTGCATGAGTACACCCATGCACTCTTCTGGTGTAGCAGAGGTACATACAATCTGATTTGCTTGCCTTGATGAACTGACATAGTAGATCTAAAAGAGAATCACTGTTGGCATTAACGTATCTTAGATACACATCTTGTTGAGCAGTTGGTCTTGAGTATTGTGTACTTTATATACCGGTATCTGACCGGTAGTACCTACATGTAGGTATTGAGTGTATTGGGCTCGATTCAAGAACGGTGCCAACTGCATACGCCCACTTCCGTATTGCATACTCATGGATGGGCCACCTGACTTCCAACATCATATCAGCGCACCTACCTACGTATACACAATCAGACACAATGAATGGGAGAATGGGAGTTGTGTCTTGGATGAGTTGCCATAACCGGCAGCCTATCCAGCACATCCAGCAGCTTACTGGCTGGGGCCGCCGGACCGTTGGTGGAGTTGCCTCTCAAAGCCACCCACCCGAGCCACCCCTGTCCCCCAGGTCTGCTTCAGAGCTGCCACCCCACTAACTCTCGGTACGGTACCATGCCAGTGGTGCAGTGATGCAGTGATGCCGCTTCCGCTTCCTGCGATATCCCATCATCCCATCATTCCATCACCCGACACTTTACCTCTGCCGCCCTGCCCATCCGCCGCACGCTGCTGAATTACATTGTCTACGAGCGCCTCCAATAGAGGTTGAGTCGCAAGTTTACCGAAATCTTGACCATGGGGGACCACGAAAGCTCCAAGTTAGATCACGAGAACCATCTGCTACTTGTGAGGCTTGCTGCTCTCTTTACTTCCTACCTTCTAGTCCTCGAAGTCGTCCCACCTGAGTGACCATCTCTAATCCTAGCGGTTGCTTCTCTCTAGGACCAACCCCTCCTCCAGCTCCCAGTCGAGCTCCTCCGCAAGAATCTGAGGTCCGCCCGCTTCGAGGTTGAGAAAGATGGAAGCTTCGTAAAAGAAACGCTCAAGAAGACCGCGACGGACAGCGTGAACGGCCGCATCTCACAGCAAGATGTGTTGAAGACACTGGACTCGATGATTGCCCGCATGCGGGGCGTAAAGCGGAAGCTGACGACCTTTTCCGACGAAGAGAACCGGCTACACCAGCATGAAGAGGCTCGGGTGAAGCACCTCACTGAGCTGTATGGCATGTACAGCGTCGACGACGTGAAGTACGAGGGCTGGAGCAGAACACGGTTAGATCGCCTGCTCACCGATTATCTGCTGCGCCAGGGCTATGTCAAGAGCGCCCGTGAACTCGCCAAGGAGCGCGGCATCGAGCTGCTCGCTGACGTCGACACCTTTGAGCAGATGAACCGGATCCGTCAGTGTCTGCTCAATGGTAGCGTCCAGGAAGCCCTCGCCTGGTGCACTGCCGGAGATACCAAGAAGGAGCTACGGAAGATGGATGTATGTTTGAGACACACCCAAGAGCACACCATTTCATAGCCTTCGCGACTGACATTATACACTGCAATAGAGCAATCTTGAATTCATGCTCCGCTACCAACAATACATCGAACTTGTGCGAGATCGTGCTCAGACTAAACCCGACGACGCATTGGCACACGCACGCAAATACTTGTTTCCATACAAAGACACATATCCCAAAGAAGTGTACCATGCCTGCGGGCTTTTGAGCATGCTGCCCGAACACGCCGCTAGAATCGAAGCCTATAGAGAATTATATGCCCCGGCGCGATGGCAGATGTTAGCAGATTTATTCACGAAGACACACGCCAGTCTCCTCTCCCTCCCATCCATCCCACTGCTTCACATCGCTCTGTCATCTGGCCTGTCGGCGCTGAAAACACCAGCCTGCCATTCGATCCATCCAAACTCAGCCGCTGCGCCCTCTCACCACACGAGTTTGTCCCTCGCCACAAGCGTATGCCCGATCTGCAGCACGGAGCTGAATGAACTCGCGCGCAACGTACCACATGCGTTACACAGCAAGAGCCACGTCGAGCCAGACCTGCTATTGCTCCCCAATGGTCGCGCCTACGGTAAGGCGCGCCTGGAGGAATATGCAAAGAAGGCGGGATTACCTGAAAGTCGAGTGAAAGATCTACGGACGGGCGAGGTGTATTCAGTAGACCTTCTAAAGAAAGTGTATATTTCGTGACGAATCTGGTTCATGCGCATACCTCTTCTGTTCGTCCCGAAGATTCGACAAATCAAAGACGATCCAAGAAGAACCTAACAATGTTTTGTTTTTCTATTATTCGATGGTACAAATTTTAAGATTGTAGCAATCATGTAACGATACTCATATCAGGTGTTGTGCATACATATCATGGTGTTCAGGGCGTCCAGGATGTCTGGATGGATTAAGTAAACGGGCGTTAAATGATGGACAAATTCATCGCCCGGGCGTTATGAAGGGTTCTTAGGCAGGATTATACCTAAGAAAAAAGGTAGCTTTATATATGATATTCAACTTCGTCAGTGAGTTAGTTGTGTTGAGCTAAATGGACTTGAAAATGAATAGAGTAAAATGCTGCTTCTCGGTAGAAGTAGTCTGACTCTAATGTGATCTGTCCTTCTCTGCCTGTTATGGCGAGAGGAAAGTAGTAGAGATGGAAGTATCTAAGGATGAGAAGAAATGCGTTGGGAAGCAAGTGGTGAATGCAATGGATATAGGAACTAGCTAGAAGGAATGAGAAGAAGTGCGAAATCACACTCTCTATCCCTTCTTTGCCCCCCTTACTTTACCTAGGTAGCTAGGCTGGTTATGGACCTGACCAACTTCCTAGGAAGTCGGTGTGACATATAGTACACATAGATAGGTAGGTATCTATTTCAAGTTATGAGAAACCGGTTGCAATTGCAAAGATACAGGAGTAATAGGTATGTTGAAGTTATATAAGGACAAGAAGATCTAGGTTTTCTATATATTGTATATTGTATATTATATTGATTTGAGTGGTATACCGTGAAGCTTGCAAACGGAGACCAACTGTAACAGCCTGACAACTGCAAGTCTATTGCGGGATCGACTGTAGATTCAGCCTCGCTCATATAGAACTCCTGCTCTCCATTGCGTGGTCCAGCTGCATAAGATACTTTCCCATTGCTTCATGTCTGACTAGCCAGTGGTAGCCCACTGGAATGCTTCATGGACTACTGCTCTCATGGCCATCGTAATGTCCAGCGAGTGCGACTCCGCTTCGCTAACCCAGCAGCTTTCCGAATGCTCGTCCGTGTTGATATTGACCTCTCCCTTCGAGACCAGCGTGACGTAATTGAGCTGAATAGCAGTCCTGGAAACGATAACATCCCGATTGGTATTATCAGTGATGGCCTTTTCGGTGGTGTACACCATCGGCTTCAGTTCGGCAAGAACCTCGGTAACATTCAGACCGGTCTCCTCGTGCACCTCTCTTACGAGGGCGGCTTTGAGGCTGGGATCGCCGGGGTCGACCTTGCCGCTGGGCAATTCGAAGACGTTGGGGAAGTAAGGCTCGTGGGGCGCTCTCTTCAAAAGCAAGATGGTTGGCGTTTCCGCCCCCGTTGAGTCTGATGCGTGCCGCAAAGTAGCCGCTCCAACGACGATTTTGTCATACGGGTTCCCGGAAGCAGAGGGCTTGAGTTTTCGGAACTCGTTGCCTGAGGAGTTGAGGATTTGTAGGTCGACGGACTTGGCGACGACGAGAGATTCAGCGTCCCTTAGGAGAGCCATGATCTCTGCAGTCCGAGAGAGGTGACTGGAGAAAACAAGTCTAGCGCAAAGAAAAGCCTAGAGCACAACAAGACGATAACAAGCCTGTTGGGGTCTGATAACATGTCCACGTGTAAAAGAGACCTGTGGCAGTGCAGCCGAGGGAGAGAAAACAGAGGTCAAGAGCGCATGCATGTTTGGGTAGAACGTATTGATGAGTCACATGTGCAGGAGCTGTAAAACACATGGTGAAGCAATACGAACTTCGTAGCCTTTTTTTATAGCTGTACAAATAAATCCATTAAAATCGTAAGTTGTTCTCCGTTGCTTTCTAATTCTACTAGCTACATAACATATATTAGGTTGATATTAGTCATTTTAAATCTACAGCTTATATAAGACAACAAACATAAAAGCAAGCACCTAAGTGAAAAACAGTCTACAAAGAAGCAACTTTCAAATCAAGAATCTCACCATCTAAGTAGGAGGTAACCACTAAGGTTAGAAACACATATGAAATGACCAATTGTTCAGCTATATAGAGTAGCATCTTTATAACTGAAACACAATCAGTTCATAATATCTGCGCAATTCTCTCTGGCTCGATTTCAGACCTATCTCTCCATGAATTAATTGCACGCTTCACTTTGCTGAGCATATTGGTACAAGTAAATACCTACCTACCTAGGTAGGTAGGTAACGAAAACCTAAGTATCAAAGACATACACACACACACATGCACGCACATCCCTACTCCCTCTAAAACTTACATGATAAAATCCAATAAACATTTCACAACCATGCTTCATCACCACTTCACATCCAGACAACCAAAAGAGAAAGCAACAAAACGAAGCATTTGAACACAATATGGAGGAAACCATTGTATTTCTCATAGTATTCCGTCAAATTCGGTTATCTCATCCACTTGCTCGCTTGCTTAGTAGTTCAGGTACCTAGGCACCTACGTCAAGCAATTCATATTTCACACCACATACCTCCAACACACACACACACATTCACACACATATATTGCCCAAACACTGTAGACGCCTGCCAATTCATTTCGTTCATTTCTTAATACTACACTGGTACATGGTGATCTGGGCCTTTGCCTTAACAAGAAGGAAAAAGGCCCGCCTTACAATAGAGGAGGAAAATAAGAAGATTATGGGACCAAATCCACCGGCCAGAAAACCAGTTATCACACCTAGTAGTAGAAACCCTTTACTCCGAAATCTTTAGCCTCAATACGCCAGACGTTTGTTTTTTTGTGTCCGCATGAAAATTGAAGGCCGCCCCCATTCCCATCCCCTTCATCGAAAAAAAACAACACACCCCAGGGAAAAAAACTCTTTGCTGAACCAGTAAAAACAAAGACCCCAGCTCTTTCCATTAGGTTTGGAAATTAACTGCGTAGGAACCCAGTGCTGCCCGAATATATATCGGTATGTCGTCGGATACCCACCATCACCCCTGAAAGAGGGTGATATATTTACATCTCCTATTAGAAAAGACCGAAGGCCTGGGTACCTTCAATCAATGCAATTAAATGATTGAATGTGCTTTCGCATTATGTGTGGTAGTTCCGAGGGACAAAGTTTGGCCACTGGAGAGGGTTTGGGATGGTGCCTCCTGATTGAGGCCGATTCGGGACAGTTGGAGCCAAGTCCGGCGTATTGGGCCAAGAAGTCGAGGGCGGATGTGATTCGGAAAACCGATCCGATGGATTGGAAGTCTGGTGACGTTGTCGATGCAAATTCCTAGCCAGCGAGCGTGCTCTTCTGTGCGATATGACCCCTGACTCATTTACTTCTAACGGATTCTATCTGGGATTAGAAGGGAAGTTGAATTGACCGAATACGCCACCGCCTCCGCCGGGTGTCATAGGTCCCATGCCGTTCGTGTTGTGCGACTGCGCAGCAGGAGTACTGGCTAGCCCAACACTAGCGGTGCTCGGAGTGCTGGGACCGCCATTTGTGTTACTGCCATTCGTACCCCCTGGTGGAGTGTTATCAGTGTTGACTGGCTGCTGCAGTGGCATCTCCATGCCGCTGAACCCCAAACCCCAGATCTTTCCGATATGATCCTCCGATATGTCGCCGTTATATATCTTCTCTCGCAACTGGAAGAATACTTTGCCAGTGAGCAGACTATCAGAACCAGCTTGATGAGCAGCCCCTAGACGCTTAATCTTGAGTGCCTCAGCAATGCTTTCTAAGCCTGATTTCTGTTCGAATTTCTGTAGTATTTCCGTTGTCGAGGGGTCTGTTGGGGTCAAAATGCCACTGTTGTGGAGCTTGACGGCGTACTTCATCAGATGCTTGACATCGTACGTCTGGGGGAACCACTTCTTCATGACTTTGTCAAATTCACTCTCGTCATTTGCAAGCTTTGTATCCGACAAGAGTTTCGTCAAGTAACCGAAATCATATCCTCCATGGAAGGAAAGCCACTTGATACTATCAAAGCATACAAAGCCTGAAACTACGAAGAGGGCAGCGAACTTCCTAGGATCGATACCGTCGCGCTCAAGGAGATTGAAGTCAATCCCGGCTTGTTGCAGTGACTCGATCGAGGCTTGGTTGTACATTTCGTCCTTCAACGCAAACTTGAAGTTAAATTGCCACGCAAGAGGAATTTGTGATTGGGCCTGCCGCCTGGCACCGGGACCGGCGTCATTGAGAGGGTTGTTGTGTGCATTGTCAGCGGGTGTTTCGCCTTTCTCGTTAAATAAGCTAATGCCTATTTGTATCACCTTCAGCATGTCGACGTTGACCCGCAGGCACTGGTAGTGGTAGTCACTCTTCCCCCGGAAGTTCCCCATTGGCCGCCCGACGATTCCAGGAAATTCAGTATCCTTGACGCGAGATTAGTTAGGTAGCCCAAAGCACGCATTATGTCAAGGTGCAGCCCTACCATAGCTATGTAGGGGTAATCTTCGGCCAAATCCATGAGCAGTATCATCTCCTCTTCGAAGTTATGCCTCCATACATCTCGTATCCGGCCTTTGGCTCCACCCGCGGCTCGTGCAGCTCGGTCTCCTGGCTGGTTATGGGACTGTTGGTGGGGGTGCTGTTGCTGTTGCTGCTGCTGTTGTTGTAACGCAGTGGCCTGCTGGAATCCGGCCCTCGCAGCTTGACTTGCGAAACCTGTCTGCTCACCAACCTGGAAGCTGGACGCAGCAGCGCCCATGCCACCAGCTAACCCAAGCCCATTAGTTGCGAAAGGACTCAACTGTTGTGTTAGAAATGGCGGGTTCGCGAGAGATGTCTGTTGATGTGACGCATGTGTGGGAGCATGTTGGGGAAACTGGTGCTGATAAGGTGGCATGGCTGGCGGGCCGCCGCCAAAGCGCGAAGGAGGCGCCATTAGTGATGCCAGTGTAGGTTTCTCGGACTGTCGACTTCACGGGGTTCCCCTTGGTGCTTGTATGAAGAAAGGCAGACAGGCGGGCGACATGGGAGGTGGGAGGGGGATGGGACAGCAAGCTCGTGAGCCGAAGGGCGGACGTTGTACGGCGCGGAGGCCAAGCTTGGCGTGGATTGCGCTGTTGCGCCCAACTCTGCCAACTCTACACTAATTGAGGCTCGTGGGGACAGGGGAGAATAGGAATATTCCGTAGAGTCGAGGTGGTATGTGGTTGAAATATCGGCGGTCGAGAGTTGTACTACGTATGATGGATGCAGAGGCGGAAAGGTGGAGATGCGGTCGGCTTGTGTCAGTGTTGAGTTTCTCTGTTGAGAGGGCCGAAGCTTCAAGACTTCCAAGTGGTTATAGTAGGAGTTCAGTGCCAATCGCGGTTTGGCCAACACGGGCTTTGCAGTGACTGGAGAATTAGTGATAGTGACCTGAATTAGTGACTTGGATTAGTGACTTAAGCCTTGATGGAGCACTTGACTGGGGTACCTGGGCGAGGTCTGTGCAGATAGAGTGGGAAAAGGTACCTGTACCTGCTGCATCTGCTTATATAAGTACAGCTGGAGAAAAGTAATTCCTCCCAGCGAGGCCCCGCTATTCTCCCACCTCATCCAACCAGAGCCCAGACATTGGGATGCATCATTCAACGGGCTGGCTGACTGGCTGACTGACTGACTGATGTCCTGTGACGACGACCCGACTAAGCTAGGTACAGCTACCTGCCAGCCTTCGTGATAGCTTTTGGGTCTCCCATTGACATCCAACAACTTGACTTGACACAATGTATCCTACACGGTACGAACAAGCAACCCTCAAGATCCCCATCTTGACCACCAATTGCTAACGCCGGATGCCACCGACAGGATACTCCGAGCGAACCAGCACCACTCCAAGCCGAACATCACCGGCTTCGACGTCAACAAGTTCGCGCGCGCAGCCGGCCAGCCCCGCTACGACCCTTGGGAGAGAGCGTTAGTCCGCACCCATCCATTCAATTGAGCAGCGCCCGGCATTTCTTTGAGGTGAATCTTTGTTTGTGCTGACAGTCGAGGGGGTGCAGCGAGGCCTGGCGATACACGGGGATGTTCTCGCGATGGAACCGATTTAAGAGCGCTTTCCCCGGCCTCGGCATAGCGACCGTGGCTTTCGCCGTCTATCTCGGCTACGAGCAGATGTTCCTCAAGGACGAGCACCACGGCGAGGCCCACGGCAATGAGCACCACTGAGGTTGAAATGGATGAATGAGACATGTAACTCCCCACTGACAAGAAAAGGCATACACCGAAACTAGCCAAAAGAGTTCAACTGGGAAAACCCAATAGAAGGGGGATAGAGAACTTGTATATATGTGTACAAACTGCTCAAGATGTTTGGCGCAACAGCAGCAACAGCAGAAGAAGAAGCGCACCATATCCGCAGAGGCATTTAGCACCGATTAGCCCTGTTCGTCAGTCGACGGTGCCATATCTCCTTGTAGTCACATTACCTGTCCATGGACGGCATCACATCATAGTGCAAATAAAAAAACCACAATTACTTCAATGTGACTCCCTAGGTTACCTACCAAAGGCGCTTTCAGCCCTGTGCCCTGCATTTCCAATGATGGATGTCAATGGACTTCTAACCCACGCTCATCAAAACTATCTATCCGGAGAAATTCCAACCTAAAGCTGTGTTTGGACATGACGATAGTAATTTTGGGCTTTCAACGGAGGTTGGCGGCTCCGATGCAGAAGTTAAGTTCATGCAAGAAAATAGGATATTGGATCGGTGATAAGTCAACGGGGTTTGCTAGGTATATGTGCGAAGCGACTCCATGACCATACACGTCTTAATCAGCAGGTGCTCGACTTAACGGTGCACTCTGCAATGTGAAGCTGTCGTACATAACCTACCAGGTGCGGTATACACCGAGCGGGGTTCGATTCCACGGGATACAAGAACCTATCCGCACTCTGACACCACACCTGGACTCAAACCCGACATAAGAACAGATAGAAGGCGTCAATCTTTGTTTCTTTGTTTGTTCGTTTGTGCGATGTAAACCTATATACATATCCAAAAGGCCACCTGGGCAATCCAACCCCCCCCTTTCCTTCCCTTCCTTCCTTTCCCAAATTCCCATCCGTACCCAAATGTTCATGATCATCATGATATATCCCTTCTAGTGAATGCATAACTCCATATGATGATGATGATGATGGTGAAACGTATGAGCCACCCAGCCGACCCAACCAATCTAGCCAAACTGCCTACCTACCCAATCCAACTGGTAATATTTACCCTGATATACGATGAGGATAAGTTGGATGAGATGACATAAGAGATAGATGAGATGATGAGATGAGATAAAGGTAAAAGGGAATAAGGAGGGTAAGTAAAAGTGAGATTAAGCCAAGTGAGTGTAATCACACACCACACCATCTCACCTCACCTCCCAACCCCATTGACAACATCCAGCGCGCCCTCAATAACGACATCGAGGTGCGCAACGCGCTGCTTCAGCGCAATATTCTCGTCCCGCAGCAGACTGACCGTGTCCCACGCAACGCTCGCGTCCTGCCCTTTGCAATTCCTGCATCCGTCGTTATCTTCCCTCGAAATCCCCTTGACCAGGCGCTGGAAAGCCGTAAGTTGTTGCGGCTGCTGCCCTTGTTGTGCTGTCATTGCTTTTCCTTTCGGGGTAGTATTGGCCGCTGCTGCTCGGGGGTGGAGTAAACTATTCGGTGTAGGGACATCGACGACGCTCTCCGTGTCCACCGTCATGCACGTCATCGCCGTCGGACTGCGGCTGCGCGAGAATATGCTCTCGCTCTCGGCGCTGTCGGCGTCCGTGTCGATGCTGAGGACGTCAGATTTCGCTGTCCCGTTACTCCAGCGCTGGTGCTTCCTTTCGTCTAGACCCCTTTCGCTGTCTCCCTCGCCATCGTGGACATCGCGCTGCGAGAGCAGCGCCATTTTCCCCACGCGCTCCTCATGCTGCAGCCGCCGTCGCGTGGCGCGCTCTGCTTGGAGCTCAGCGACGAGCTGCTGCATGGCGTTCTCTTGCTCTACGGCCTTCGTGGCCATGACCTCGAGCTGGTTCTTGAAGTTGAGCGTGCGCAGCTCCATCTCTTCTATCTCCTCGCGCTGAGCCTCGTGCTCGGCCTGCAGCTCCCGCAGTGCGATGGTCCGTTGGCGGTAGGCGTCTTGCATCCGGTGCAACAGGCCCGTGGCGTTGGCTTGCAGGTTCTTGTACGCCGCTGGCGAGAACGCGTCTCCGTTTCCGGGAGAGGAGGAGGAGGAGTCTAATAGTGACGATGGCGATGCTGGAAATAGAGCGGCCTCGATGTTGAGGTCGCACAGCTCGTCATCTATCTTCGCGGGCGCCACCTGTGTTGGGCTCGTCATCCGAGCAGTGAAGGCTGAGACGGAAGATGCTATAAATCCGAGACGAGATTGTGTGGTGCTCTTTGGTGTTGTATCTACAGGTGTCCGGGACCGCTGCGGGAAATGCCCATATGCGTCACTTTCGAGTGAGGGCGTCGATGGGCCGCTGCGCCGAATGCCTCCAAGACGTGCTGGCGAATTTCCCCCACCCCGTCCGTCCCCCGTCAACGGCATATCTTGAAAGTTTCTCTTATCGTGTCCCTGCCTGGGAGGAACAGAGGGGACGTTTGAACGTTTAGCTGAAAAGCTTGGTATCGACTGCTGCCGTTGATGCTGTCTATGAGTCGAGGACGCGTTTCTTTCGATCGAGTTTGCGGGCAAGAGAGCAGGCGGCTTTGACGGTGTTTCGTCATATGGGCTAAACGTTAGACTTGGTGACTCGTAGACTCCCGAGTGTCTAGTTTGCGACATCAGGGCATGGGGTGTTCCTGCATCCGCTTCCAGCACTGGGAGAGGAGTCATGGCCCCTCTTAGCATTGTTGATATTGCTGGCCCCTGTCGGGAAGGTAGTCGACAATCCCGGGTGGACAAAATGCCCTTTCGAGCAGGCCAAAGAGTGGGAAACTCCGGAGTATGGGTGACTACTAGTTTCAGGGGTGGTCTCTTTAGATGTTTCAAATAGTAATTAAATGATCCTTGTCATCGGATCCGTGCTGAGTCAAAGACAAGAACAGAGCTATGTGCAGAGGTGGCCTAGAATGTACACTGCAGTATGATGGTAGCATCGAACGACAAAACAACGACGGTACTGTAGTTCTGTCTGTGCCGAGCATGGCCAGGATGACATGAAATACAGAGTAGGTAAATGTAAACAAAGCCGCACAAGCAGACTAGATAAGGACCCCGGGATGTTAGTCGGGTTGCCTAACGGACGCGAGCAAGTCTCGGCCTCCACCGGATGGCTGTAAGTACTTACATACTTAGGTAGTAGGTTATGTGGTGGATTGTAGGGCAGGGCAGGGTAGGAGGAGAGGAGGGGAGGGTCTCACGACGTAAAGTGCGTAACTTGGCTGGCCTCGAGCTACCGTCGTGGATCCAGCTAGGGCAGAGACCCAGTATATCCAACCAACCGCCGACGCAGATCAAGTTGCGAGCGATGTACGCATAAGTAGTAATCTGAATTGTGAAATCAAGTTTATATACTGGCCGCCGTACTTGACAGCTCGTGAAGATCGCTGCTCTTTTGCTCAACAACCGACTGGGAGCTGACTAGGTAGGCTTGAAAGATGCATACCTACCTCAGGCTGGCGCGCAATGAGGAATGCAGACCTGAGGTAAGCTGAACAGAAACAACGACATTTCAAGCTCCGAATTTGGCTTAAGAATAAGGTTGCAGTACTACTTATGTACTATGTAGAATTAATTGCTAGATACAGTTACCCACCCTGGGTATTTTAAACATTTTGCCCAGCCCTCTGCAATCCATCCATGTATATCGTGGCTGGGTCTTCAAAAGTTGTCGTCATGCTATCTATCTCCACAGCCACAATATTCAAGTGTAGTTAGTAGATACTACCTCGACTACCATACCTAGGTACATAATCATCACCAAAACAACACCTACAGCTTGGGTAACTTACCTATCTACATACTTATTCTTACCTGCTGCATACCCAAGCAAGTGGACATGCCACAAAAGCGGCCCAACCTGTACTCTATCTCTCTTCAATGAGAAGACAGAGCTATGACTTGGCATCTTCGAATACGAATATGGCTGCTGTCGACGTGTTCGCCGTTGACAGCCTGGAACTGCCGTGAAGTGGGTAAGGAAAAACGCCAAACATAGCTGATAGAGGCATGCGGAATAGAGCGGCGCGTGGCAAATGTCTTAAATGCTTTCACCTAGGTACCTACTCGCTTTCATGGTTCGCTTAGGTAGTGCTGACAACCTAGGGAAGGGAGGTTGGAAATTTGATGGATATTCGTAGAATTCTATAGGGCTTGAGGTCTAACTAGTATTGCCGTATTATCTACTAAGTAGCGTACACTACATACAATCACTGTGTTAATCGATGGCGTTCTATCGTGGAGAACACAATTTGTGGCAAGGTCTGGCTTTTGTATTTTCTCGCAGGAGTACCCAAGCTAGTAATGGGTATCAAACGCAATGCGAGGTTCATAATGATAAATAGCTGCCTTCTAAAGACTATAGATCCTTAGAACAGACCGTGCAGGACCTTGATTCTATGATTCGCGCCCGAAGTCGTCGAATCACCTATGTCCCTTTGGCCTACACTCTGGGCTTCACTTTTTAAGTCCAATAGCGCCTTGATGACCCCCACCACAAAGTATTGTATCATCCACCATACTAATAGAAACTCTCGACCATAGTATCCTTCAGGTTGGTGTTGATGTTTCCTGGCGCCGCACCCTCGCCTAGACGGAAGACACTCTCGATAACACTGAGCTCGGTTGCCGTTGTGTCGAGGCCCGTGACTGCGAGCCAATCATTGACGACCATGCCAGCACCCACCACGTTGCTTCCACGGTTTACGCTACCGGCGACGAGGGGTACTTGCAGTAGTGAGGACAGCTCATCCTGGTCCTGTATGCTGGTCTTGGGGTGGACGAGGCCGCCGCGATTACTTAACGACATATAGCTACCCACGAGCACGTTGTCGGCGACGGTCTGGCGGAAGACTTCGACACCTAGCACGTCGGCGATGATCTCCTCCGTCTCACGCTCCAGATCGGGGTGAACGAGCGCGATGTGATCATTCGCCACGATGACATTGCCTAACGCTGACAGCCTCTCTTCGATTCGTTGGATCCGGATCTCATCTGGTAGAGAATTCCGCAGATGTTGTAGCTCTTGATCTGTTGTTGTTGTGGGTACGAGAAGACCTTTGCGGTTGCTACAAGCCGTATGATTAGTTTACAGTTTCCAATCTGTTGGTTCGAGTCGCCGCAGCGAACTTGCCGAACAAAAAAACAACAACAAAGGGAGCAGGGACTGTTTTACTTACCCAGCTGTTAACCGACCGATGATGCGTGTTCCTGCGATTGTCGTCCGGCAAATAGGAATGACATCTTGTAATTCGGCTTCGAAAACACTAGCCGTCCAGACAAAGTTAGTCAATGTGTGCAAGAAACAGTGTATGTTTTGTATATGTATCGTGCGCTTGCCCCCGCTCTCTTATCTAGCTTTTGCTGTTGCATGCGCACTTCCAAAACTTTTACAAATCTATTTACACTCCCGGCCAAAGATGACTGAATAGTATAACATACCTGTAGAAGTTCTCGCTTGCGCCTACGGCCGTGAGGGCATATGAATTCGTGAGAGTAGCGAAGACGCCAACCCTATGAATAGCAAAATCGCATGGTTAGCTATCGCGGGGTTCGTGTCTTGCGAGTGGTGTTTCGTCGTCCCATTCGGCGGCGGCTTTGGCGGGGTACTCACTCGTTAGAGTTCTCAAACTGTGCGCGCACCGCCATGATGCTGTTTGTAGCTTGATTCGCGGGCTCGGGGAGCGGTAGAATGGTAGCGAAAGCGCTGCGAAGAGATATTTCTCGATTGGTAGTTTCGTCGACGGCAGACTGCTCCTGGGTATCTGGTGATTGTTCGGTGTCGACTGGGCTTGCTGATTGAGCTCAACTCGACCAAAGAAGTGGAGGAAAGTGGGATTATTGTACCTGGTGCTTGTGGCCCTGCCCAGTGGATACGACTCCCTGCAGCGACCCCTTCAAGCTCAAGCTTAGGCACAAGCTTACAGTAGTTAGGTTGCGCTATCACCAGTGCGCCAATGGCTTCTTCCCGGTGACTCAGCATAGCAAGCTTTGCCACACAAATGCTCCAGCCGTCGACTTCTCATTATGATTCATCCCTCATCACCAGCGACAGAGCCACACTAGGTATTATGGCCTGTAATCTGTTTATGACTCTTCTGATACTATCCATTCCTCTACATGTGCCGAATCTAGTCCTCTAGTCACCCCCTTCCTTACCTGCCTACATTTATAGATAATGACTTGGGAGGTAGACGAGAAATAGGTTGATTAGGTAATGCTTAGGCCCCTGTTCCAAGTCCCTCTTTATTCTTCACATACATATATAGCACGTAGGAGCCTAATTTGCTCGGTTGTCGCCTTTTCTAGTCATATGGCATCAGAAATGACAGGCTGCTGGCTTTCGTCAAGTCACTATCTCACCTTCAATTGCGATAGGCCTTGATTTGGTGTGCTCCTACTTGGCAATATTTGCTTCAGCAGATTTGATACTTACAACGTTGTCCGTCATAGATTTATCATCTTCGAGGTATAGATGGACCGAATTAAATTTATTCAGCGGCAATGAGTTGATGCATTCCCCCCAGGTCCAACTATGTAGGCTACCTTGAGGTGTTACCGTAGGTCAACTGAGGGGAAAAACCTAGGCCCGGCGAACCCCTTGGCAACAATCGCCTGAATATCTATGTTGTTATCTGCGCCACGGCGCGGATTCCACATCTTTAATAATATAAACCTGCCTGAGATAGGTGGGTCGAAGGGGATCGTGCACTTGCTTTGGTGCGGCTCAATGTAGAAACTTGCATTAGGACTCATGAGCTCACCGCCAACAGCACGGACTGCCTCCTGCGTGGCCACTTGTACCGCTTCTGCTGCTTCCGTCAGCGTATTGCTGCTTCGGTTCGGCCGCCGTCTCGACCTGTAATCTACTCCGCTGGTTGAGATGTCGTCTGACCCGTCCTCATCGCTGCTAATGTTCTCGAACGGCAGTGATCCAATTCGATTGGGTGGCCGCCTGCTGAGCCTGATACCGATATCGTCTGCGTCATCGTCATCGTCGCTACACTCAGCGGTAACCTGGAAAGACGGTGGAGAGATATTGAACTCGGAAGGTATCTGAGCAACGGCCACCTCATTATCCTCATCGTCCAACCCTATATTGAACAGTCTCCTTGCTCGCACCTGCGCTCGGGTCATTGTGGTTCCATCCTCGTTATGTCTTATTGAAAGAATTGGGTTCAAAGGTTGTGTCTCCCGCTCATTACGCCTTCTAGCTGGAGAGTATTGGATCTGGTATTGAGCAGTCCTATTGAAGAGATGATCAGAAGTCATTGACACAAAGACAATGCCTGCTTGAACTCTAGAAATTTCATTATTAGCATGAGAAGATGAAGAGGCTGACAAAAACAACGTACGGATCAGTAAAGTTCGACCTGGGAGCCTTAATGACCAGCTCCTTCAGCGTGAATACCGTAGCGCCTTGGTGTCTCAATACGATATTACACCTCGGGCCTTCAGTGCAGTAGACACTGTGGTCGTTCTTGAGGATGTTTTCAGCGGCATATTTGGTCGAGGTATCATCTGATGAATACATGCCTCCATCGCAGCTGACCAACTCCATGGTCAGCTGACCCGGCTGAACTTGGCCGTATTTTCCATATTGAAAGCCCCTAAAATTGGAAGACAGCCGGTCCGAATCCAACTTGCGCCTCTTGGCTCGTCGATTGTCTTCGGGCGGGTCATGTGGTTGAGGGGTACGTGAAGAGAAGAGCTCAGGAAGGGTAGGTGAAGAACCGTGTGTCTGGTCCAGCAGCGCTCGTCGTAGCTGATAGGCCTGTATAAAACGTTGAGTTCGAGATTGAGAATTCTCCTCGTCCATAGTAGGCTGCCAGAGGCTGTTGGTAGCTCTTCTGTCATACTCGCGTTCAATGAGTCGGGGTTCTGGATCTAGTGGCATGCCATGGTCCCAATGGTCCGTATCGTCAAAGGCGTCTTCATGATCATCAGTCCATGGTATCACTAATTCGTAGTATCTATTCGAAAAGTCGAATGATGACCGCGTCCGAGCAGACGCATCAATATTGTCCGATCGCCGGGTCCTCAGAGAACGCAGCGGAGGTAAACTCGGGGCTGATGGGGGGAGGTTTTCTCTTGGCGAGGCGTTCGAAGAACGAAGGTCTCTTAACAGTGCACGTTGCAACTCAGAATCGTCATCGGCTGACATTGTGTTATATGCTACCTAGGTAGGAATAAGGGCTCAACGGGCCAAGTGGATCGGAGATGTTGTGGATGATGGGGGTTTTTGTTCTACAAGCGTACGTGGTACGATTATCGGGATCAGTTGGTACGAGCGGGGGGAGGTGTTTTCAGCCAGGACAGATCAATAATGCTGTTGGCGGTGCGGTAGACGGACTAAGGCGAGCAAGCTTTGAGGCGACTTTAGTAGTCGCTGACAGTCAAGGCAGGGGAGATGCAGCATAGCCAAACCCCACGTGAGTTCAGCTGATGACACTCATGGGCAACAAAGAGCGGTGGCCTTTGTTGGGAGCGCGCAGGACGCTTAACGCACCAAATAAGATTTTGCACGCGGTCTGTTGTCTGTCTGCAATACGATTCAAAAGGCGAAAGACACTTGGAACCAAGACGGAGGAAGGTATATAGGTATGTATAAGTATGTAGGCTTGGCGGAGCGGGTAGGTATTTCGAAAACTACAGATGCTGGAAACCAGACAGGACTATCTGTATTCGATCGCCGGGGAGCGAGCAAGGAGTAATGCCACACGATATATAGTTAGACAGTCAGGAAAGGAAAGGAGATATCACAGACAATTTGTGTTTTTGTGGTAGTTTTTCGCCTGACGCAAGGGAGTCGATAAGAGGAGTATAGTGTTGACTACATGTCAAGGCATGTGTGGTAAAAGGTAGGTCGAAAGAACAGCCGTACGGTCCTTACTGTAAAGTAAGTACCTAGATTCGTGGGTAGTGACTGCATGGGCCTCCAATCTGGCCAATCTGGGAAGGTTTACGCAGTAGGGTGAGGGACCAATGATAGGAGGGGTCACTATGGGTATCGCCAAGCCAATCCCTAGGTACTCCGTACTTACTCTAGCCTACCCTCGCTTACCTAGTACTTAGTAGGTAATAATTGTTACTACCTCCTACAGTAGTATCATGCTACACTTTGCTGGACTTGGCCCTAAGAGAGTGCCCTAAAATCAGATCCATAAGCCTGCCATATGCTATGACGACGCTGAACTCCAGGGTCTCCCCAGCAGACCCCCAGGTACCACTTAAACACACTGACGTCTGTGGTGTTTTGATGTCGGCCTACTAGGATTGGGCAGATCCCATTTTAGCAAGCCGAAATCCCCGTTGTAACTTGGAACTCCTCTTACTTCGTAAAGTCGGATTTCACTGGAACAGAAGTACATATATTTCAATATGATTTTCTTCTTCGAATACAATCCCTCCCGTACGAACAAGATAGAATGAAACAAATCTCTACCCCTAAGTATTTCTGGTCTAGGAAGGGGCATGCCCGCAGCTCGAGAGACTCTAGGTAGAGCCATGTCTTGGCCGCGTACTGTTGATAATGTCAACACTGCAGCAAACAGCCAACATGGCGTCTAGAAAGGGATGGTACACGCCATCCTGACCGAGGTCGGTAATTCTGTCCAACAATTTAATAGATAGGTAGGCAGCCAGGTATGACCGAGTGATCAGAATACTAGTACAGGGATGCAAACTTGAAACCTCCAACCGAATTCGCATAAAAACGCGTGCATATAAGTACATAGGTAGGTTGATATTTATATACTCTACGTGTATGATATTCGATAATGACGAGATCCTCCGCTCTCACACAATACAGCGCCACACTTGTCTTTGCAACTCACTTGATGATGTTACATCCTTCTGATCCAGCGAATACCTGCCATGAGCATAGTATTACTATGTAATCTATAAGTACCTAGTACATTGGAAGCGACACTACAGTACCCCAGACTCTGCAGGACCGTACCGGTACCTTGGTGAGGTAAAGTGCCTTCCTACTTGGGCGTTTTAGGTAAGGCAACGAGGTTAAGGCTTATTAGCTGGGCACCTGAATGGCGGCTTGCCCTGCGCTATCTGCCTGCGTGTATATGTAAGTACCAGCGAGCGAGGTACAAGTGAGGGAGTACCTACGTCAAGCACCTACCTACATAAGGTACATACTGCATATGTAAGTATGTACTTGCTCAGTACAGAGCTTTTTAAGGCACATGTACCTACTTACTTAAGGCTACCTAAGGTAAGGGACAAACATAGGCAAGGCTCGAAGCTCTCACTCACCACTTCATCATCATCATCATCACCATCATTGTTATTAAGTATTACTGTCACGTCTAGACACCAATCGCATTCGCGTGCTCTGGATACAGACCAGGCCACACACAAAACACTACGCCTAAAGCTTCGAGTAGCACGGTGCACGCTTCTGCCGCCAGCAACCGGGGCGCGCGCCGTTCGCCGTCCGTTCATTCAGAGGCGGTTCAAGTCTTCTCTAATCAAGCCTCTCATTCTTGTCACTCATTTTTCTCATCTCTTTCACGGCAGTAAATGACCACGCATCTGCCTCATCCTTCATATTCTCACATAGAACCGGGCGGCCTTGACTATTGCTGAATCTAGTCCGTCAACCTGGTACTATTCTCCTATTTGCGATTTCGACCGTCCAGTCTTCATCTATCTAATTTTAGCCCTCACCCTTCAACTTCTATTCGAAGATGGACGACAATCCTGAAACAACAGGAGCGCCTGCGATTTCTACCAGCGGCGACCAACCTCCTGCTGCGGTAACAGAACCTACTGTGGAAGCAAACAACGGCACGTCTGTGCCTGTTCAAGACTCGGCGGCTGTAGATCACTCTTTCACCACACCATTTCTCAATCAAGGCAACGGTTTCATTCCTCAGGTGCAGGACTTTGCCGCCATAAATCCTACCATCAATGGCAATGGTACTCTTCCCATGGGTGTGATGATACCTACCAACCCGCCATTACCTGAGTTCCACGCCTCGCATGCGCCGCAGCCGGTAAATGGCCACGCGATGAGTGCTGGTATGTTAATACCAATGTTTTCTGTTAATCACGTCTGCTAATATAAGTCGCGTTTCAGAGGAAATTGCTCTTTATGACCGCCAGATCCGGCTTTGGGGCATGCAGGCGCAACAAAAAATCCAAGCAGCCAACATACTTCTGATCTCTATGAAAGCGCTGGGCAACGAGATTGCCAAGAACTTGGTCCTTGCTGGTATCGCATCTCTGACCATTGTTGATGATCAGATTGTAACAGAGGCTGACTTGGGTGCTCAATTTTTCCTCTCTCAGGAGAACATTGGGCAAAATCGTGCCGAGGCTGCTGCCGTTCAAGTACAAAAATTGAATCCTCGTGTCAAGGTCTTTCCCGACTCTGGTAGTATCATGACGAAAGGAGCATCCTACTTCGCTGCTTTTGATGTAGTCATTGCTGTTGACCTTGATCCCACCCTCCTTGCGTTTATCAACACTGCTACTCGCCTACACAACCGTCAATTCTACGCTGCCGGTGTGCATGGTGTCTACGGCTATATATTCTGCGACTTGATAGAGCATGATTACGTTTTGAAACGTGACAAAGCGAACGTAGCCACCACTGTCGGCCCCGAGTCACGTTTTCGCAGTGTGATTGACGTACAGACACAGAAGGAAGGCGGTAAGGTCATTGAAATGGTAACAAAACGAGACTTCTACTCGACGTGGGACCTCGTGTCAGAGACGAGCCTTCTCCCTGCAGAGTATACGAAGTCGAAACGACGGCTCAAAGCTGTCTCGCCGGCCCTATCCTGTCTCCGTGCCCTTTGGGGATTCCACACAGCGCATCACCGCGCTCCCAACCATAATAAGCAAGACCTGGAGTGGTTTACCAGGTCCGCGACACACAGTCACCAATTGCTCTCTTTGCCGCCTGAGACACTCCGCTCCGAGTTCCTGCGCAGCTTTTTACAGAACATTAACAGCGAGATCGTGCCGGTGACAGCAATCCTCGGGGGCCAGTTAGCCCAAGACGTCATCAACGTTCTTGGCCAAAACCAGCAACCTATACAGAACATGGTCATCTTTGACGGTAACAAGATGGAGGCAAACATGTACCCCCTACACCCTGAAGGCAACCTCGGCCGTTCCCAGCTGGACTATGGTTACTCGCTGCCAATGGGAATGGGGCAGATTCCCGTGGATATGACTCAAGGACCTCAAGACATGTTCCAGATGATGCCGGTAGAAATGGCGAATACTACAATCCCCCAGGACACAACTCCACAAAATATGATTCCACAAGGCACAACTGAGAATGACCCTTCAGTCCCGGCTGAAAGCGAAAGTTGACGTGAGCTTACATGACCCTTGAGAATCTCTGCATTTTCAGTAGAAGATTGAAACAAAAAACCCAATCTCTTATTAACATCGTCTTGGAACATCCTTGAGAAAATCAAAATAGAGAGGTGCATACATGACACATATTCCGCCATATGTGCTTCTTTCTTTCTCGCCACTAGACTGAGTATACTAGAGAAGAACTCGTCATTTCTGGATTGTTAGTCTGTCTGTCATGTCCTTCAGCCATCAGCCCAGCCATCTCCGCGAAGCAACAAATAAATACCCTTGTCCTTTCAATTCTCTTTTCCTGCCTTGAATGCACACGGAACATACGAGACTCATCTTCTGTTGTGGGGGGGGGGGGTCCTTTTAAAAGGAGTTACGTTTTATCCTCGTACATCATCTTGCGTCAGTTTATAAATCCCGGCATGAGATTTACATCGCGATAGGCTGTGGCTGAGACTGGAATTGACATCGATTGAATATAGCCACTGGCCCTAATCGAACGCTACTCTAGAACGAACTCCAGTGTGCGTGTGCATGCAAGGGAAATAGGAGATTTCGAAGATAAGAGAAACCAGAGCCAGAAGGCTTGTTGTACAATAGATAACTCGGTCATATACCAGAAGAATAAATCGAACCGAGATGATAATGTGTTATCCACGAGGTTCCATTCAAATGGCTTTGAATACTTTGTGATACCTGTAATTCGCGTCTCATTTATCAAGCGTGGGTGCATGTAAACAATAAGGACTACGGTATTAATAGGGACTGAGTTAAAGCTAGGTATAGGTATATGAAACGCCCTCCTACCGATCCCTTGGACTACATAGTGAAAAAGGAATATCTATTCTTATTTGGCTTAACCTCCTCCTTGTTTTCCCAAGTCCTAACTTCATAATCAGCCATATCAATAGCATATATACGTAGCTACCAGAATATACATACATAACCAATGCGGTCCATTCGTATCCTAATCTAAGCAGTCACTAGATAGATGTAAGTAGCTGTGAAAAAAAAAAATAACCGGCCTCCGACGCCCAGCAATCTGTCTCGAATGAGATACGCGAGGGCTGAATAGCGATAACCAACCTGCCTCACATTGCAAATACCAAAGAAGGTGTATTATTCATTCATATAGACAGACTATGTCTCGCCGAACCGGGCAGATTGAATGCGCACAAGATTTTCAGCGCGTGTAACAATGTCCTTCCTTCCTTCCAGCAGTGCACCAAGTATCTACTACCTAGGGAATAGAAAGCGAAATAGGTATTAATTGCTGTTTGTTCGTGAACTCTGATTACCTTCCTTGCTTAAGTATGGATCACCGGACAGTGTGCTCGGACAAATCACGCAAAGTAGCAAAGTAGCTTTACATACCACATGCAAGCTAATCAAACATGCGATAGTGAGATATATGCGAAATGATTTTATTATATCCATCATTCTTGAGTCAGGATATAGTCTATCTAGTCAAGATAACTCGTTGACCGGAGATGCTACAGCACAACCATGCTCGATCCTATCAATCATGGATCGTTTGCTATCTTCCCAAAAATATCAAGAACATTATCTCCTACCGCGTGATTCTTAACGGTAGTGGCGAGAACCTATTCCTCGCGACCTTTTCGGGCCCCAAGAGATAATAATGGGGGGGGGGGGGAGGGTAAGGAGGGGGTCTATGTGTTAAACATCCCCAATCATGCTCCCTTTGCCATTAACCGCGTCGATTGGTCTACCAAGCAATTACAGTGAAAGAGAAATATCCTTTCCTCGCAAGAAACAGATATGCAGTTTTTGAATGATGCCGAACAACGCCGTGGATTTCATGCATGCAAAGTTTCCTCGTTCCATTTTTGGTGTCCTAGGTCCGCTTCGTGTGCTGGCCTTTTTTGTATTACTGCCAGCCCGACCAGACTCCTATGCAGCGCTATGCTATTCGTGAGGGTGTGAAATAGAGGAAAGGGAGAAGAAATAAGAGTGTGATTAGAATTGTGTACTTGTGGGACGATTTTTGAATGAGAAAAGTGCAGAGTTTTTGGAGAGAGTGTTTCCTGCACAATCGTCGTACAGTCTCCTCCAGGACTAGAGCATGGAATAATATAGAATGATTATCCAAGAGACTTCTCAGACGGATTCCATTTGTTAATAAATGTGGTAATACTGTAGACATATCTATTAGTACAATGATACAAACCAGTGATGAATATTTCTCTAGTTTTCACTTACCTCGGCGAGTCCTTCTCCTCCGAGTCCTCTTTCTTGAGGCCCTTCCGCCCTTTAGAAACATTGTTTACGTTCCAGCCTCGGATGGTCGTGGGACCTGTCCGTGGGGGAGGCTCATTTGCTCTATAATCTTTGATAGCTTCCTTGTGGTCGTAATGTGCAAGACGAAGTTCTGCACCGCCATTTGACGGCCAAGGCCGGTTATGTGGAATGGGTGCTGCCGCAATCTTGCGGTATTTGCCATTCCCGGGACCGTTGCTGCCCGACGACATTGAAGCCCTATGTCGACTACCCGGAGGTCCCGTTGGTGATTGTAGCCCCATAGATGAGCCTGGCGGAGACACAGATGACCCATGAGGCATGTGCATGGGCATAGCTGCAATCTGGGCGTGGGTTGACATTGTCGGGGACGAAGGCTGGTACGCAGGTCTGTGTGATGGGGCTAAGTGAGGCGGGGGCTGAGATGACATCCCGAAAGGTATCCCCATCATAGGTTGCTCAAATAGGGTGTACCCTTGGTGATAGGGGCGAGACGGAGCAGGCGGAAAGAAATTTCCAGAATTGGACTGTATCATACCAAGAGGAGGACCATAATCTGGACCCTGGGGAATAAGCGATGGCGGCGGTGGATGGGCAGAGTCCATGGCCTTTTCCCGTCGTGACGGGCGAAGAGGAGGAAGCACGGGACTGCCCTTGCCACTCCCCTGGTTTGTGAACGGATTTCTGCCAACAGGAGCTTGATTTGGTAGCTCTATTCCCTGGGGTGGGGCTGGTGCAATGTGAGGAAGCATAGAAGGTGGATTAAGAGCGGTTTGCAAAAATGCATTCGAAGGTGGGGGAGGAGGGTTCGAAGGACCAAGAAGGCGCGGGTCAATCATTGGATCAATCATTGAGTCGCCCATCGAATTAACATCTGGTTGTTCTAGTCGAGGATCGAGATGGTGGGTAGGCCGATGGTCTGGAACATACTCGGGACGATATTCATAGTGAATATGGGGATGATGCTCCATCGGATAGTCTGGACGATACTCAACATGATGCTCCAGACGGTGGTCGAGCGCTGGGTCGAACTGGGCCTCGCGCTGCAGAGAGATTTGTTCCGAGACATCGGCAAGGAAAGAAAGACCAAACGTATCTATCTCTACTGGTGGCATCGGCGGAGGAGTTGACGGCCCGGCACTGGTGAAGACATCTCGAACGGCGTCATAGGGCCGAGATGATCTTTGACTGGACGTAGGATGGTTTGGTCGGTCTTGTCGTTCTTGCTCAATGCAAGACGCGGCGTGAAGAAGTCGGTTTGTATTCTCTCTGGCGATAGACTCATCGATTACTCTAGCTCCGGTATCAAGGCGGTCATCTACAGGACGCTTGTTGGTGTCCTCGGCCTCAATAGGAGCTTCCTCCAAAATGCGGCGTTGCCGCTCGCGCTCACGCTTGCGCATCTCTTCGGTCGTGACTTCGTCTGACTTAATACCAGACTCTTCACAGTACTGCGTAATGAGGAGAGATATTTTATCCTTTCTGGCATCCTCACGCAAAGTGGCATCCATATTATAACCCCTAACAGACCGAGATGCATGTAGCGTAGTACCACTGGGAGTAATCATCACGATGGGGTGCGACCCGGACACGGGATGCGGAGGAGACTCTGGTTCGTTGCGAGAATCCGGCAAGAATAAACCATACTTAGGGTGAATGTTATGCTTCTGGACAAGGCTAGAATCCAAGGCGTCATCCTCATATTCAAGGCAATCGTACGTCACTATCGTGCGATCTATATGAAGATTTCTGGAATTGGGATTGTCGAGAAACCTGCCCCGTGTTCCACGTGTGGCCTTCTTGCTCGAATCATTCGTGGAGTCCCGGAAACCAATTTCATCAGCGTCAAAAATAAAAGGAGGAGGCAGGATGAGGCGATTGTTAGCTCTGGGTCCCCTTCTTGCAACGATGCGGACACCCCATTTATCGGGCTCCGATGCGCCATTGGGAAGATCTGGCAAGTCTCTTCTTCCCCGAGATACCTCCATCCTTGGATCTAACTCAGGCGAAGGCGAGGCTGCATTGGACTCAGGTTCTCCATCCGGTTCTGTTTCGGCTGAGAGTAATCCCTTGATATGTCGTGGTTGTGGAGTAGACATCTCATCGCCATTGTCTAGCTTAGCAAGTCCAGAGGAACCTGTAGTCTTCTTGGTGTCGGGTTGACCATCCGGTTGGTCTTCCGCCTTCCGCTTGGCAAAAGGTTTGCCCTTGGTCACCTGGACCTTAGCCGCCGCCGCCTTCTTATTCTCTTCTAGTAAATGCGGATATGGTACTTTGATACCGTTGCGGAACACAACCCAAGTGCCTTGTTCAGCAGCCACATGGTCAGGTTGCTCTACGAATGTATAAGTCGTATCGGGCAACTGCAGATGTTGGTGAGTTGGGAAGGACAAATTACTTAATAAAGATTGCATGTATTGACACAGTACGGGATGCGGTTTATATGATTGAGCATTGTGTAGATTATTAGAAAAACTCACATTTATGTCGACACCTTCATGTTGTATCTCAGCTAGAAGACCGGCTCGCTTAAGAGACGCGTCGTAGAATTCTTCGGCTGCGTAGTCGTAGCCATCCTGTGCGTAGATGTAAGTATCATGCATTTGGGATCACGCTTCCGAGTAGGTAACAAGCATCAAAAGTGAGAGACCAGTAAAAAACCGGGGCAGAAGGACTTACGTGGAATTTCTGTTCAGTGACAGCAGTGTTGAGCTGGTACTCGCGAGTAGCAATGGCTGTTCTAGTGGTGAACTCGCGGTCGGCAGAGCGCATAACCTCTTCGAGGCGGCTGTCGAGTTTTCGCTGCAAGACATGATACTCGGGAACCGCCTTATGGGCTGTGGGGGTCTCAATAAGTGTTTTTACGGTCATGTCAGCGAGGTCCTCAAGGACGGGCTTGACAGCGCTGGCGACCTCGGAATAGAGATCGCGTAGCACCTTCTGGCGATCGTAGGCAGCTTGAACACGGGGATCCTCATAAGTCTTATTGCGACCACGTCCCTTGGGGCGGCCGCCTCTCCTGGGGGCAGCGGCATTCTTGCGGCCATTTTTCTTCCCAGCACCTCTGCCTACGGCTTTCTTGAGATTGCCGAGTTTTCCTTTGGCCGGGCTGGGTGCTGGAGAACCAGCAATCTGCGCGTTATCCATGTTGGGCAGTCATGCAAGGGAGGGGGATATGTTGTTGGTTTTGTTGGGTGTGCTGTTGTTACAAGAAGATGATGAGACGGGCAGATACACGAAAGCCGTAGAAAAAAGGTGCAGGGGCAGGAACTAAAGGGAGACCGGGGCTCAGAAGACCAAAACCGATGCAGAAGGGGAACTAAAGACAACAATGTCGGCGGACGATGCTGGCAGCAGAGAGAGCTGAGGCAAATAAGATGCCTGGGTTGAATGGGCAGACAATGTAAGGGCAAGCAAGCCGGTGGTGAGTAAGTAGAGTTGAAGGGCTGGCCTTGCTGGTTGCTTGCTTGCTTGCCGAAGCTGGCGAATGAGAGACGGGAAGATTTTTAGGATCAAATTGGAATACAAGCAAAGCTCTACGCCAGACTCGCGGCCGCGCTGGGTCTGGCAACAGGCGGAGAGACGGGTGCACAGGAAGAAACTCAAGCCAGACGAACAGCCGCCGCTGAGATGAGATAGATGAGATATATGATTTATGTGAGCGGTGGCCTGGAGTGTGAAAACGGCCGGCGATATCACCATGAGTTTTTCTTAGACCAAGGCCGAAGCAACAGCAACAGCAACAGCAAGTACAGCGTCAGTCAGTAAGTGGCCGCCGCAGGCCAGCGACCAGCGACAGGTAACCAAGCACCTAAAGTAAGCCAAAGTACAGTACCCAAGCAGCAAAGTCGGATTAGGCCAGTGATGTACCCAGTAATGTACCCAGAAATGTACTCTGCAGGTCCGCCCGCCCCCAGTCGTTATTTCCCGATTTAGACAAGACTACTTCCCTAGCCCGCTTGGTGTAGGGTCTCGCTGTCGTCTGATTGGCCCGGGAAAACCTATAATCCGCCAACGTTGCCGGCTCACACCGTCCGTCCCATCTGGCTGCCAGTGTCCTGAATAGGTGTTAACTACACACAGATGGATGGTGTTCTAAACTTGGTATTGTATTCCAAGGCTGCTGTTGATTACCTATGTACACCGAGAAGGGAGAGAGTCCTAATATAGACTACCCTACTAGGAAGTATCTACCTAGGTAAACTACCGCTGAATGTCTATGCTGAGGCCTTGTTATCTGTCACGTGTTATATGCCCTCTTGACCGATGATTAGGCACGTCTATAATAATACGTCAGTACCTACATCGGTAGAGAACCTCAGATGTCCAATGTGTTGCCATTCAGCTTGCTAGGCAGGCATGTAATGTATTCAAGTATTTAATGTGTAGCTATAGCAACTTGGTGATCCACATTGTCTACTTCCGCATGTTGGGAGAGAGGACATCCTCATAACCAGGCGAATACGGAAGAAAAACATACCATCTCCCATGAGCCATATGATGCCCATGACAGTTGTGGTCACGACTTGTCGATCGATCGGACGACGGTATGCTTGAGGCAATGAAATTCCTGTTGTGTTACATACACTTAAGATGTGCTCTGATGTGTAGGCACATCTGGTGTAGTACCTGCATGGTCACGCGTATGTTGAACGTACGAAGGAGGTTACAAACACACATTTTCGAGTCCCGCTATCATCGACCGCTGTTCACACGGGTATCAGGAGTTGGTAACAAGAAACCTGCACAAGGGCGCACAAAAGGTCATGCAACGTACGTGGCCTATCCCGATGATCCCCACGTTATCGTTATTGTCTTTTCTCTCTATCGATATCTAGGTGAAGGGCAAAGAGATATATACTTGGTATATTGGAATACTGACAGTTAGACCGATCTTACCGTAGATGACTCGACATAGTAGCAGCCCCCTAGCATAAGTCTCACTCCTCGCTGACCTGCTTGTTCTACAGGTTTCCATGCCCAGATTGATGGATGCTACCCGAATTTGTTCTATCGAGTGTACATAGGTAGGTATATATATACGCTATGCTCGGCGCCAGGCAGATGGATTCCTCTATCATACACCATGGGCTTCACCGATAGGTATCATGCAGCCCTGCGTACCACTAGTATCTCGTGAATGGAGATAATGGGCGCAATGCTGTGCTTTTTTATGCCTATCAGTCGTGACACGTTACCCGCTACTCAGCCTAATCAAGGCATGTGAGATTGGTCCAGTTTTGATCTGCGACGAATTGTTGGATCCTCCTCGAAGCAAGCCTGTTGCTGTGCCTGTGTCGTGTCATAGGTGTGTGGTTGTGTGTGTCGTGTCGCGGCAGCAAGCCCTGTAAGTTGTCACTCAGTAGCCCCAGGTTTCCACCAGCCCACTAGCCCAATACGGTAGACACAACCTGGAATTGTACGCCATAGGCGGCAACCCCTGGTCTGCCCTGGGCGCTTGATCGCAGGGGATCCACCTAAGTGTAGTTCCCTGTTGGGGCTAGTGGACTGCCACATGTGGTTACCCGCCCGCATAAGCATAAGCGCAGCACCGCAGAACCCGCCGTCGAAAGGTGTCCGCGTCTCCGCGCCTCCGACTCCGCGGCCCTGCTAGCGAGCGAGCCACTAGAAAGTTTTGAAGATTTCCGCTTTGAGCAACCCTCAACCATAGCAGCACGTCGAAGACAGTCTCGAACGTCAACGCCGTCAACTCTATCCCGACGCTCGCCATCCAGGCGCAATACTTGATTAGACTCGAGGCCACTCGCCTGCCCCCTCGGCGATTCGATTGGGAGTCTCAGGTAGCCCGTTGCTCGGCGAGGCGCAATAGGTAGCCGAACTGCCCAGCCAAGTCAGTCAATCATGAGCCGGTGAAATCCCTTCAAGTGCGACCGCAATCATGGGGAAGAAGCGGAAATTGGCGCAAGGCAGCGCGCGTCCTGCTAAGCTCGCAAAGCGTGTCCCTCCTAATGGCAGCGCAAAGAAGTCTACAACCCCCGGCGCAAACCCGCAACAGAAGCAGGGCGCCAACAACGGTGCCCCTCCAAAGCAACAACAGCGCCATACCGAGCCAATCATCCCCTTCTCTCCCGAAGACAAGATTCTCCTAGTCGGCGATGGCGACCTCAGCTTCGCGGCCTCGCTGGTCGAACACCATTACTGCGCTGACGTCACTGCGACGGTGTTTGAGAAGAACCTTGATGAGCTAGTGGAGAAATACCCTCAAGCTTCAGACAACATCGCCAAGGTTGAGGCCGAGGATGACTGCCGGGTATTGTTCGGGGTTGATGCGACGAAGATGGCGCCTTTTACCAACAAGCCTGGGCGGGGCAAGGGATCAGGACCAGAGAGCGCCAATGCGCATTCCGTAACTGCCAACGGTGTTATGGATCGCATCATATTCAACTTCCCGCACGTCGGTGGAAAGAGTACGGATGTGAACCGACAAGTTCGGTACAATCAGGAGCTACTGGTGTCTTTCTTTCAGCGCGCGACCCCATCGTTAAGCCCAGGGGGTTCCATCATCGTGACACTGTTCGAGGGTGAGCCGTATACACTTTGGAACATTCGAGACCTTGCAAGACATAGTGGTCTGCAGGTCGAACGGAGCTTCCGGTTCCAGGCGAGTGCATACCCGGGCTATCACCATGCGCGAACTCTTGGTGTCGTTCGAAACCGCTCCGGCGAGGTCGGCGGTGGATGGAAGGGTGAAGACAGGTCCGCGCGAAGCTACATCTTCGTGAAGAAGGATGCCGAAAGCCGTTCATCGGAGGCTCAAAACGGCACAAAACGATCGAGAAAAGACGATAGTTCTTCTGATGAGGAGTAATTGTTGAGTCGCCAAAGCCTGCTTGGAGGCTTTCAGCTTGCTATGTACCAGCGGTTCAGGGAATGCATCGGCTCTGGTTCGCAAAGTACAGATATACGGGGTCAGGGTTGGAATGTGTAAAATGAGATAATCCTCCCAGTAGACACTTATATGGTCGCCATACCAGCGACTGAGCTTGTTGTACGATATACTACGACCTCTACGGGGAACAAGTCTCGTAGTAAAGTGCTATATATGATAGTAATACTTGTCATCAGACCTTTCTAACTTGCTCATACAGGGACAGCGGGGTTGGTAGAATAATATACCAAAATAATGAAGGCTGCAAATGTGTCCATATCTATCCTCTGTTCACGTCCAACTAGCCGACTCTATTAGTGTCTCTCTGCATGAATTGAATTGAATTTGGGTTTTATTGATGTTTGGCATATGTATAACCGTGAGAACTACAACCATCGGGTACTACATTGATACCTGTTGTTGTATGAGGGTCTCTAAAGCCTTCGTGGCTGGGCTAAGACTATATACAGCGAGTCTCTTGTCTTTAGCATTGAGACCGTGACATCTGACATCGTGACAATAGGAATGCGCTCACATGTAGCTAGTTGTCTTTAGCTTATTCTTCGTTTCCGCCCCTTCATGGGGAGAAAAAAAGGGGGAGGGGGTTAGAGTGGAGGAGGCATGAAAAAGGGGAATCCAGCGAAAGCTTGACCTCGCGCAGCTGAGGGAGATAATCGCAGCACGATGAGTTTTCAGCTACCCAAGCATCCAATAATACAAACAGACATATTCCCCAGAATACGCCGTAGTGAGAGCCCTGGATAAGTCTACCCGTCCTTAGAGACACCCACAGCGCAGCCAATAAATCTCCTCGACACCTCGACATGCCTCTACCTCTCGAGATACCTACTGCACCCCGGGTCCTTCCCCGATATATAAATAGTGAGCACCATGGAGCCAAGGACCTCTCGCATATTCGGCAGGTAGAGTTGCCAGGATTATGAGTGCTGTCTTCTTGAAAGGATTTCCCCCAGCTCTTGGCGACGTAGACACTGCGGATATCGCGTCAAGTCCTACTAATACGATCATTAAAAAGATTTTACCAAAAAGGGCATATTATTCCTGATGGTGTCTACCACATCATTGGATACCCACCATACCCTCACCTTTACGAAACTTGGGTCTCGGCCCTTCTACAGGTAAATAGGTGTATGACTCTTATGGCATCCACCAATGGTATCTTTCGTGCCAGTCTTTGCCTATCGTAGAATCTCTATTTTTCACCAAATCATCAAGTCTGGAGGATCCAAAGGTCTGACTACCGAACACAGACTTACTTACTAGGCACGCGGGTGTTCCATCAAAACTACCTTGCTAGTAGCAAACCAGAAGCCGCCGTGCCCCGTGTACCTTTGCTTGAGACATACATAATCCCGCATTTCTGAAGAAGACTCTACATGCATACAGTAGTTTCGACACCTATGACTGTGTCATGCCTTGCCTGTCTACTACGTAATCTTTCTGCGGTCTATGATTCGTCAATAATACACAAATACGCGTCCACAGGACAGTGAACTGTAAACCGTTACACCGGTAATTATTCCCGCTCTTGTTTAGGCATGTCTCGGCACTTCGCCAGAATGTCTCATCTTCCCGGAGGTTGACAAACGTGACAAACACTGGTCCAGCCGTACTAAAGAAGGGATATAGATGCTTCAAGAAATATACTATAGCACAGGCGGAGCTATAGGTAGTATCATGTATAACTGCCACGCTGCACAGATAATGTCGTGATACCAGAACGGCCGGATTACACACGGGCTGATGGGCTGCCAGGCGGCCCCGTATTGTACACTATCTAACCATCCCTGACCGCTCATGATTATTGATAATAAATACTCTATTGGAGTATCTGGAAATATAAGATCGACATCAGCTAGGTTTCCAGGTTCATGCTGCCTGTATTGTTGACATCCACGTGTTATATCATAAGGTACCTACCTAGAAACTACTTGGCAGTACCTGCTCGAGTAAACCATTACGCTCAGGTATCAGCCATGCGCGATATATCTATTGTATATGTATGTATCTTTCGGTAGATAGAATATTGTCTACGTAGGACCTTTGGCTTCCGCGATGTTATTACAAACTTATAGTGGGCCTATCAAATTCACCTATATCAATATTGACTGGTCAACGAACAACCTGGCACCTCCGGGATTCGCCCAATGACAATTCTCAGCTTGAACGCGAATATCTTCCCACTGATTTGTATATCCCGTCTCGGTCGGAGCAAAGCCAAATCTCATCTTATCCCGGGCCGAATGCCACTATAACAATCTGTACGTAACTCTGTCTGCGTCGCCACCTTCCGACCCACGCAACGTAAGATGTTGTCACGACAAATCGGCGCCGGCCGCTCCGAGAAGAGAGGGACCGAGCGGCCGATTGACTGACTGAGGGAGAAATAAATAAAAGAGAAAAAAGTGAGCGGGTGGGCTCAACGGGCTACTTTCTTACCTCCCTACCTATAGGTAGTTATAGCAAAGCTTACGCGCACCCAATGAACCAAGCAATCTCGCAAACTCAACCCTCTAGTGTAACGAGTTTAGTTAGTTCCTGCATACTTAGCACGGAGTTGAGAGGAGCAAACGGTAACTAGGGCTTACTCAATGTAATACGGAAAGCGTTTTACCAACGCTTTCAGATAAGGGCGCGCGCTGACATAGCAGCGTAAGTAGGTAGCGTAGGCATGTCAACCTCAATCTGTCTGTACTGAGTAAGAGTAAGTAACAGCGTACACCACCGTAAGACACAAACCGTGGATATAGCAACGGCAACCAGAGCTCAGCTCTGGTCGGCGACTGAGAAGTCTATATAACAGGTGTACTATATGCTAACCTAATTCCGGCCATCCCGTAGTCTGGATGAGAAGACACCTACATAGTGTAGTAGGGAATGATGATATGTAGCGTGATGACGTACACTACTAACATGTCGTCTTCCGTACTCCGATGGGCTGGCTGGAAGCTGGCAGCAGCTAAAGTATGCGCAGTACCTTATAGTGTTATATACAACCCACATCAACGCTGGACATATATGAAACTCACACCACCTGTTCTGTAACTAATGCTACGGTATGAAAAATGACATGGTAGGGCGCTGTACGTTCGGGCGAGGGCACGAAGGGGAGTTGGGGTATCATGCATGGGGCTCACCTTACTTACATGTAATATAAGTACCTACCTCTTCTCCCATGTGCAGGCCACGCGAAAAAGGACCCAGGCCAAGCCTGTCGGTCGTCGTGTAATGTAGCATACATATACTGTACATACTTACAGTACATAGCCATCCATGGGGACATGCGCAGTGTAAGTATCAGAATATATTATACTTATGTATTCCTGCGTGTATGTATGTATGTATGTATGTCCGTCTGTAACAGTAACGCACCATGTATGTGATGGCCTCACTTGCATCTCGACAATCTGACTGACATATGTTCGAGGGTTCCATCACATCACCAAAGAAAGCAAGACAAAAAAAAGCGACAATACATAACAGGCATGACTCTGCGACCACACAGCCAGAAAGGGCAGGAGCACGCAGACGAATGAGATTGAATTTCCCGGACCCGCGAATCAGAACCCGTAATATGGCAATAATAATTATTATTGCTATTAACCACCCTTTATTCTCTCTCTTAATGTCTACCATTGTATTTACTGTATGTCTTAATGTGGTAAGGGAGGTATAGTAGGCATGGCGAAATCATTTGGAAATACCCTTTTTCGGCTTATTGATTGCCGGCATTCGGTTCCCATCAAGCAAGCATACATGTATGTAGTTGAGCCAGAGTGCCACGAAGCCCAACACTACATAACGCGACTTACTTATTTTCCGACGTACTGAAGCAGCGGAGTTGACAGTTGATGCCACAGCTATCGTCTCATCTTCCTGGCAAACCTCTTTCCGCCGGAGGCGACGCAGCACGATGCAGCGCGGTGGGATGTGGGGAGATAGGTATGTATGTAGGTACGATATGCAGACAAGGGGACAAAGAGGCCTCGAAATTGCGTACACTGACTAGCATGTTATGTATGCGCTCTCGGTAACAAAACCCTCCCTCAGCCTTACTTGGGGATCTACAACTCGCGTGGCCTTCTCGGCGGACTAATGTAACAATGATCTCCAACTTCGGGATAATATAACTCAAGCCCCGTGAAGTCGCAATCGCTCCCCCTGTCTATCTCTGCCCACCATCCCTCCATCCTTTTTCGGCGTTTGTTCGTGGTTTTGTGCAGGCCGGAGTGAGTGAGCGAGGGAGAGAAGAGTGTGTGCGATAGATAGGAGACTGCAAGGGGCGCGCAAATCGTGGTGGAATACGAGTTTCTCCCCCAGCGTAGCACACACATGCCAATGGCACACAAAACAGTGGTGGCGCGCGTTCGCGTGCACGGAGAACGATTCAGAAAAGAACCAATGCAACATCACGCGCGCCTTGCACGAGATGCAACCCTTCTCCACACACCACATCGCAGCGTCGTGCTCTCTTTTCAAAAGTCCCCGAGCCTCCCATCCCTACCAATATAAGACGACATAGCACCCCATCATACATTGCTGCTGCGTCGCATCGGGGACAACTTACCCGCGCTTTGCATCCGTAGTACTAATTGTCAATAAGGGTAGGTAGGGTAGCAGTGGCACCATATCCCGGGATACCCCCATTGGCCCTGGGCTACGGTAGGCCCAGGGCTGTGGTAACCCCAGTTTCCAGAGCTCGGGCGTCTTTCGTCGTCGTCGCTCACCACTCCCCGCCCCCCCGGGCTCCTCCAAGGTGCAGCCCGGTCTGTAATCGCACTGGGCTGGCAGATAGGTAAGTAGGTATGGTAAGAAGTAGGTAGGGATAAGGGCCGACACGTGGGTGTTTAACCGGTGAGGGACCAGGGCCCTCATCGAGTAAGCAATAGACTGCACTATTATTTATTGTCTTTTTCTATTGTCCCACCACTTTGCTCGATAAACTCATTTGTGGGCTGTCTTGGCGCAACCGTGGCTGAGGACCACCAATCGAGTTCTTCGTCATTTGCTGGTTCCGACGCCCCAACGGTTTTTGGAAATAGGCAGTTGACGTATTGAAAACTGCGTTTTTCATCGTTGGGATTAGAACTCGCTCGCTGGTTTGGTTTCCTTTTTGAAGTGCTTTGTTTCCGGTGGCGTCGTACCATGTGGTGTTGGAGTTCATGGAACTTTGCTGACAATCGGTGACCTCAGGATGGTTTCAGCTTTCTCGCTTAGTACCACGGGCTTGGTTCCATCTGACTCTCTGGGTAAGTACTGGATTGACGTAAGCTTGCAAACCAGCCAAATAGCTAGTCGAGATTTATCTCTTCTAGAATCGCGAGGCGGAAGAAGACTGACTCTGTGGCGAATGATAACAGCCGTGCTTACCGAATATACTGCTTCTGTTCTCTTGCATATGTATATCAAGCTTTCGACTTGAAGAATAAGCTGACTGCTTTGGGCCGACGTCTGCAAAGCTACAAGGCGTGCTAGGTATTTGCCGTCAGAAAGTCCGTATACCTATCTGGCTAGACCGGTGGCCTAGGGAGCACTGCGGAATTCGAATTTCGTGAAAATGAGGAAAACACCGGTTTCGCGATCCTCGAGACTCCATGTTCTCGCTAAGATCGCCTCTATATTTTCGACTGGTTGGTTCGATGCAAATGTTGAATTTTATTCTGGAGGTATATCCACCTTTATGCCATTGCTGCGGTCGTCTTGGATTGATTTTTGACCATTACATACCTCGTACATAAAACATTTGTATCGTAGGCCACAAACGGCTAATTCCGCCGTGCACACGCAAAAGAACGCCTCTGTCCCAAAAAAAGACTCTCCCTAGTATACAAATGAACATTGAGAGCGACGCCAAGGAGCGCGGGCGGGTGTCGCCGACTGTACAATCGGAAAAAGAATTAGGCCTGCAAACACCACAAGAAGAGGGTTTTCTAGATTCCAGGTTGCCCATGTGCCAGACGCCTGTTGACATGAAATATCTGATCAAGTCGCATCGTACAATCGTGTGTGACGGTCCGACACATACCACCAACCATGGCTAAAATATATGAAATCGCGCTGTCCCGATTAAGTAAAAATCATCCAACAGATTGGACAGAAAGACGCCGGCTGGATGTAAAATAACGCCAAACTTAGTTGTAGAAACAACGTCCGGATACGTAGTGAATATGGAATAGATCCAGAACAAAACATAGGTCTAATCGCAGCCAGATTCTTAGTTCTTCCCATGGAGGTCAAGATAGTGACAGCTATCAAAGCACAAAACCAGATACTTTGTTGCGTTTCTTGTCTCATGTCCGAGTGACTACTGGAGACGCTGACGCATTTCTAGACGTTGGATCAGGCATGCTTCTGCTCCTGTCTCGGTCAGGAAAGATGGGGTCTGGCCTATATGTCCCACCAACTTGTGGTGGCCTTGGTGACGGCTGAATCGGAACGAGAGGCGGTTGCGGCCGCGGAAGTATCTGGACATGAGTTTGCGTTTGGTCGTGATGCTGTTGTATCATGGGCGCGAGAGGCGGTGACCGTGAGTCTATAGGAGCCGAGCTATGGTCGCGGGGAGACATATTCGTCCTTTCTATCTGCTCTATAGGTTCTGGTAGAGCTCGTGGCGTCCCGGTAGTGGACGCAGGAGAAGCTAAAGGCAAGGCACCGCTAGTTTGCCGGGGACTGTCGACTACAGTTGGCCTAGAGCGTTTTTTGGAGGACTGGTCGGCGCCAGGAGTTGCTATTTCGTATCCAGGTGGAGACGTATATTCGCGCTGTGGTGGCGCCGGGGGAGGAGCCGGGGGAGCAGGAGTGATAGGCGTATATTCGGTAGGGCGCGGATAGGCCGCACGAGCTTGCGCTTGAGCTTCCTTGTCGGCTTTGGACGGCCGTCCACGCTTTTTACCTGTCGTAGGTACAGCTGGCGTGCTCGTGATAGGCATCGCCAAAGGATACCCGTTAGGGGCCGGTGGCCGTGGCTGAAGTGTTCGTGCTGGGGCATAAGTGGGCTCGTAAGGAGGTGCCGTGATGGCTTGTCTCTTCGTAGGGTGATCGATCAGGTTGCTGTCGGACTTGCGCTTGCCGAAGCTTCCTATATTTGCTATATTTGGCGGAGGAAACTTAACTTGGAACAAGTTTTCAACTGCCCCAATGCACTGGTACATATTGCGGCCTATTCCCATTAGGACCGGGCACGAGAACAACTTTTGTCAAGGTCAATACAAACCAGCAGGAAGCTGCATCGAGCACCAGTCAGGCTCGACATTATGAGCTTTTATAAACTCCACCAGCGTGTGCACATTTATTCCGCTGACTTTAATTATCTCGCCCAGGACGAACCTCTACAGCCCACCCATATGGTTAGTAGAGCGAAACAAGAGCGGATCGAACAATGTACCTTTTCACCCTCGGAGAAGATGGTGTCCATGGTGAAACTTTTCGATAGTGAAGACCCGTAGACGATGGGTTTGGGAGAAAAGGAGTTCTTCGGTAATAGAGTCGCAGGCGAGTCATTTGTAAAGATTCACGGTGGCTTCATCTGTGTCTTGGAGGTAGCTTAATGGAAGGCAGACGCAGAGTGAGTGAAAATAATCGGATCGTAGCGATAGGCAGGTAGGTAGACAGACGCCTGGTCGATCCTATACTGCCGAGGCGCAGACACCCATGCGGGAGACCCTGAGACTAAGGCCAGGCAAGGCCAGGCACGGTAAGGCAAAGCAAAGCACACCGCACACAACAAGGAAAGCAAAGGAAGAATATGACTCTGCCAACAGCGTCGAGTAGGGGCTAGGACACTGGAGGGAGGGTATGGGAAAGTCACCAGAGGCTCAAAAGACGCGCGCAAAGATAGCAGGCAGGTCAAGCGCGCGCCTCTGGCGAGAAGAGCCGGGGACAGAGCGAATGTGGTTCAACTCTACCTGAGGTACCTGGGAGGGGTGTATACCGCAGAAAGCATGCCTATGCAGCACAACAAGCATGTATGTAGTAGTTATGTATGTATGTAATAGGCAGGGCCGGTTAAGTAGTACAAGACGACGGGTAAAGAACGAAACAGAGGGCGAGCGAGGGTCGCGCAAGGCACTATTCAGTACGCAGACGACCCAAGGATTGACAAGGCAATGCCTGGGCAGTACAGTACCTAGGTCAAGGTAGGGAATACCCAAGGTCAGTAGGTAGCGCAGGGTTACGCTGCGCCTACAAGGATGGGGATACCTCGCGCCCCGAAACAAGGTGAACCGCGTGGGAGCTGGGAGCGAGCTTTGGCAGCCCGTTTAGCTGTTGGATCGTTGGGTCGGTTTGGCCGGCCGGGTCTAGAAGAATGTGGCCACAGGTTTGACAGGATTCCGCGCCGGTGCGGTTGGCCTCCCAGGGATGATGTGGAATAATGCGAAATTGTCCAGGTTGACCGAGGGATCAGGGCGTTTTTTTTATGGCCACCTGGGTAGATACCTAGACTAGGTGCCAGTTCAGTTTGGCTCAGACCAGAAATTGGAGCTCGAAAGCTTAGATCCTCTGGGAACCCGGGCACCCTGGAGAGACTAAACACCGCACATAATACAACACGCCGACGCTGGTATAGACGGACAGATATAGACAGGCAACCAACCAAATAAGCAAGCAAGCTGAGGGATGGGCTGGGAGACGCCGAGCGTATCCAAGTAGCTAGCTGATGAATAGCATGAACAGCATGAACAGCATGGGCAGGTAGACGGCTGGATAAGTCAAACAACAGGTACGCAAGTACTAGTAGTAGTAGTATAAGTAAGTAGGTATGGTATGTAAGTAAATAAGTAAATGGTGCCAGCAGGCAAGCTTGGTAAGCTGGTAAGCTGGTAAGTAAATAAGTGAGTAAGTCAGTAGGTAAGTAAGTAGGTATGTATGTATATATGTATGTATATATGTAGGTAAGTCAAAGGTAAGTCAGTATAGGTAGCCAGTATTAGAGGAACCAAGGGGTCGGTATCATGGTCGTAGACAAAAGGTCGCCGCACTGCGAGCCCCGGGATTCCAGCAGCGAATGAACGGTGTTGGTGTAAGACAAGCAATTATGAAAAGACATGTTGGCTTAGTTGCGCGAGACAAGGTTGGATGGAGTCTTTGCCAACCCCAGATTCCCCATCGTGGTGTACGTGTAGGTAGGTATTTCTGTTTCTGTCCAGCATCGATCCTATGGCATAATCCAGAATCCCTCGACCAGCCATTCGCAGCTCGCCATTCGCCGGTTCGCCACTTGCTTGTCATTCAGCTTCACCACATGCACTCATGCACTCGACCTCCACGGGCCGGTACAGCTCCTACAAACCCAACCCGCACCACGAGCATTAGAGGCATGCACAAGCGTCGCGGCAGTGCCTCCTCAGTGGAGCTCTCTTGGCCAGATAACTAGGGCGATACCTAAGTAGAGGTCGAGCTGGTAGGCTTGTCGGTAGACCTGGGAGACTAAGAGGGTCTAAGCGCTCGTCAGTGGTCTGGCTCGCTTGTCTCTCTGCCCACCAAGCGAAGTACCGTAGACACCCGGGCAGATGGGGAGATAGATAGACGAGATAGACGGGCGAAACGGAGCATGAAACGGAGCTGGGAGAGGCGTGCAGTGCAGGCATGTCGTGCGTGCGTGCGTGCGTGCATCATCACCTGGCATCGTTTGGCATCACCTCTCAGCCAGCAATGCGTATTCCCAGCAGCATGGCATGTTATACATGGCCGCTGAGTGAGGATAGAAAAAAGTACCTACCTAGGTAATCATACATACCTTGGGACATACCGTGGGACCTGGGCAATTCGAGTCTAGTGATGCTCAGATGCATAACCGCAACCACCAAAATGGCAAGAGACAGCTGAATGGCCAACCACATGCAGCCTCTTCTGCCATGCAGATGCGGCCCTACAAACACGCTCACTGACAGTAAGCCCATCCCGCTTACCGCTTGGACTAATTGGGTCGCCTGACTGGCCCGATTATCCGCAGCATTTCCATATTCCACGGGTAGTGGTTCTTTCGAGACGGACCTGCCCACACCACCAACCGAACTAGGCATAGGGAGTATGACATCGACCGAGGGTTCCTTTGTTCTGCCCTGGTACTTGTCCGGACGTCTCGTTGCCATGGTCAGAACCGCCGAGGGACGGTAGTGAGAGAAACAAAAAGGCGGGATGGGATCACACTGATGATTACACTACACCACCGTCTACCAGCCGAGTTTCGAGCCCATAAGAGAGGGAGACGACTCGAAACCCATGTCTGTCTGAGATCCCATTAGCCTCTCTGCACAACCAAAAACACAGACTCGATTATCAAGAACCTGATAACTCCTATTGGCCGTAGCCACACTGCTTCGCTGGCCTTGCAGTCTTGGAATCTCATCCGTCGGAGGAGGTACATTTTGAGTGGTCAATAACCACTGGAGCCCTCGCCAATCAGGCCATTGGGGTCGTTCTCCGCGAAATGCTCATCTTGTAGCATTTAGTGGGGGATAAGCACAGATCATGGGTTCGTCGTCTGACAAAACCCGAGCCGCAACATTGTCTCGGCCGTGTCGCAATTTAAGCGCAATGTCATTGATGACGATAGCACGCAGATTCGGCCGGGAGACAGGTTCTGGGCAAGCATCAAAGTTGTTTAATGGCGTCAAGCTTTCTGTTTTATGAAGAATGTAGCGCGAAACGCTTTTGGGAGGGGAATCCTACTCTACAGATTCGGACTTCCTCCTCTTATATACCTAGAGGTCTATAGTTAATGCCAGCTCACATACCGCTTTTTCGCCTAGACTTCAAGCTCGATCCATGCACGTTGAGCTGGCATCTCCCCATAGGGCCCACAGGCCTGTAGAATGCCTTGAAGCTGTTCATTACCGCGCAGCCATCCATGCGTGGGTGGTTGGTGTCGGCAAGGGATGACGAGAATGCTCAGCATTCCGGAATTGGCTGCTGGGCTCGGCTCCGTCTGTGTGCAGCTGCCGGCCTGGACGATTTCGACGCAACACGGGCCGACGTGCTGCAATAGAGTACCATCGCCACACCCTATATATGAAGCATTGTGCTTCGACTTTGCATCTTGTGTAAGCCGAGATCATGTAGACAGGCCTGTTCGCTCTGATTGTTGCCAATGTAAAGCGGGCCTTGATTGCCCATGTTACACGGCTAAGAGAGAAGTTCATTTATTGGCAAAATGAATTCTGCTTCCTGCCAAACGCTGAATGTCTAATTTCACAACTCCAATGACCACCCTATCCAACACTGACTTCGTACAGAGCTTTGTGTAGGTTAGATAGACACTAATTCCATAGCCAAAAGTGTAAAGCTCAATGGCCTCCGCACTCTAGAGAGATTCTAGTATAGAACGATGTCTACGGACTTAACATATATAGTCTAAACACATTTATAGATACAATACAAGCTAAAGCTCAAAGACATGGTATCGAAAGGATAAATTGGTCTCCATGATGTAATTATGATATGCGAACACTGGTGGATTTAAAGATAGAAGTGCATTTAAAGGCAGATGATGATTGTGACATATTTATTACATGTAAAGTCTCCTCTTCAACCTCACTAACCCCCATTAAGACCTGTAGTCCAAGAGATTGGGGACTTCTCGGTGTAGTCTATGTCACCAAGATGCTCAACACGTGCCGGTGATTCTACTCAAAAGTCATGATACTACGTGTATTTTGAATTGTTCCAACTGTGTCACATTAAACCACTCTGGCTATGTGTGCAATGACAGTTACTAATAAAGCTGATTCAGTCATGCCATTATCATCGGTACCCGAGATCTTGCTGGCGGAAACCCCTAAGGTTAGTTCTACGTGTTTATCAAGACGCCTCAATACATGGCCCTATCTCTAGCATCGTCACATCTACATGTAACCTTCCAAGTTGTGTATCCATGTGCCTTGCACTTATACCTAAACTTCCTTGTTGGCCAGCTTGAATATAATGCCTAATCAAGTAGGTGGGTTGCTGCGGGGTTCCCAAAGTTACATTTAGGTACCTAGATAGAGTCGAAACTTGCAGCTGGAGCTGGATCTGGGTCTGATCTGGGGATGGGGTATGCTTCTATCGAGTCTCAAGATATCACTATATAAGGCCAGGCTCTACTTTGTGAAGTTTATGCACAGCACGCAACTTTGATAGCTGATTGGCCACTGCTTGCACCTTTATAATTAGGTACCTAGAGAGAACCCTATCTACAGACTCTCTACCGTACCTTATGTACCTAGAGGGAGAGGCCAATGTACACTACCGGCCCATTCAGGCTTACAATTGTTGGTGCAGTGACCATTAGTGGCCAATATCTGCCTTCCATTTGAAGGTTCCGTCGCCTGAAGAGGCACAGATTAGCAGTGCAGCCTGCCAGTACAGGTACCTGCCAATCACCTATCTCAGGTACCGTCAACCTACTACGACATGTACTCCTGACCTCTTTTTTTGCGACAACGGATCCGCGTAGCATCGCTTCTTCTCTTCTGCTCAACCACGCGCCAGCAGAAGCAACCCGCGAACAGAGCGTCGACAGCGACGATATAGATGTCGGTTCGCTTTGCGTGAGGGCGGCCACTGTCGAATATTCAATTCATTGCAATTGGCACGTCCACCGCCTTGCAATGTCACCCATTCCAGTCGCCAGGTAGTTTCCATCATCTGCTCGGCGCTCTCTTCTTCCTCTCTTTAGTCGGTTTATTCGTAACCTTGGGCCTTCTGCCCCGTCAATCCTCTTCCGCAGTCACTTGCCCGGCTGCTCATTATCCAGCGCCGTTCTCTGTCCCTTTCCGTCTCATCTTTGGAGTTGCCACGCCCTGTATGCCCCCGAGGATATCCTGGCATTGCACGACGACAAGTCTTGGGTTCTGCATTGGTAGGTTAGGGCTGGCCTTTCAACCCGCTTCGTGAAATCCGCCTTCCTCTGCATCCCCTATTGGCCATCTCCTTCCATTCCAGAGGCGCGCCTACATCCCAGAGCCTGTATCCCTTACGACATCAACCACCGACCGCCGAGATGGAGGAAGAGGACCATCTTAAGGATGGGTTAGAAGGACTCAAAGTCGACACGAGTTTAGATGCTGCATCTACTACGACTATCAAAAAGGAAGGCGACAGCATGACTTCAACACCTAATGACAGCAAAGGCTCTCGGTCTCAGAGCTTGTCTCCCGATGACCGAAAGGCCCGTAGTGATAGTGCATCCACTCCTGACGGTGCTCAGCCTCCGAAATTATCGCGCAAGTCCTCACAGAAACCTCCACACCGACCTACGACTCTCTTTACCCATTTGCCGGATGTAACCGCCGAGTCTTGTGAGCACTTCCAAGTGATACCTGATTGCTTGTACGGATCCAAGTCGCTTGGCTCAACAGATCATGATTCATTAGACTGCGACTGCAGTGAAGAATGGCGTAGGTACCCTATTTGTGTTGGTCTTTTAGAGCCTGTGGAGTACTAATGGCAATGTTTGGGTTAGGGGATGGAATGAACCATGCCTGTGGGGAAGACTCTGACTGTATCAATCGGGCCACGAAAATGGAGTGTGTTGACAAAAACTGCAACTGCGGTAACGAGTGTCAGAATCAAAGGTTTCAGCGCAAGCAATATGCCGATGTGTCCGTCATCAAGACAGAGAAAAAGGGGTTTGGCCTTCGTGCAAACACAGACATCCAAGCGCATGACTTCATTTTCGAGTACATTGGCGAAGTCATCAATGAACCTACTTTTCGCCGACGCGCAATTCAATACGACAAAGAGGGCATTCGGCATTTCTATTTCATGTCACTGACCAAAAACGAATTTGTTGATGCTACGAAAAAGGGCAATCTCGGTCGCTTTTGCAATCATTCATGCAATCCTAACTGCTACGTGGACAAGTGGGTGGTTGGCAACAAACTGCGTATGGGTATTTTTGCCGGGCGGAAAATTCAGCTCGGTGAAGAGTTAGTGTTCAACTATAATGTCGACAGATATGGTGCGGACCCTCAACCTTGTTATTGTGGTGAGCCTAATTGCATCGGTTTTATCGGGGGCAAGACCCAGACTGAACGCGCGACTAAACTCTCCGATGCAACTATCGAAGCTCTGGGCATTGATGACAGCGATGGCTGGGATACTGCTGTCGCCAAGAAGCCGCGGAAGAAAAAGATTAGCGAAGACGATGAGGACTACGTTAACAGTGTACAGGCTCGTAGTCTGGACGAAGATGGAATCCCTAAAGTCATGGCGACACTCATGCAGTGCAAGGAGAAATGGATTACCGTCAAGTTATTGGAGCGTATCCAGCGCTGCGACGATGATAGGGTGCGCAGTCTTGTCGTGCGACTGCACGGATACACAATCCTAAAGGCCGTGCTCAAGACTTTCATTGAAGACAGCAACGTCGTCCTCCAAGTCCTAAGCATACTTTACGACTTTCCTCGTTTGACCAAGAACAAGATCGTGGATTCAAAGATCGAATCCACTATTCAATCATTGACCCAGTCAGAACATGAAGATGTTGCTAGAGATTCAGCACGACTCTTAGATGAATGGGGCAAGCTGGAGTTTGGTTACAGGATTCCTCGGAAGAAACTAGACCCCAACGCACCATCAACTCAGAACTCGCAGCCCATTAATTCTTTCGAGGAGCGCCGTAGCGTCCGCCCGGAAGAGCCACCCAAGACTTTACCCTCCACATTACCAACAAACACCCCTAAAGGCCCGCGGAGCAATATCCCTCAGCGGAACCCCAATGTATTCAATGGCTACCCTCGTCGCAATCGCCCGCCGCCTCCAACTCTTCCTGCAGGTTGGTTTGCAGCCACTGATAAGCGTGGCAGTCTGTACTATTACACTAAGACTGGTGTCACAACTTGGCAGAGACCAACAGAGCCTCCATCAGATCCAGCTCCAGCGCAATCCAACGGACCTTCCAAAGCGCAGCAAGAAACAAAGGCTTTGCAAGACATTATCGATTCTCTGACGAAACCTGGGGTAGTGCCTGGCCGCTCAGCGTCGCAAACCCCTCAGCCAACGAGTACCCCCACCCAGGAGACTAAGAAGGAAAAGTGGCGTTCTCTGCCAATTGAGAAGCAAATGAAGATTTATGAGAACACTGTGCGTATCTCTTGAGAGGGTTCATCTCCTTATAAATTCTGCATATATACTAACTTCTTGTAGCTTTTCCCTCATGTGAAACATGTCATGGACAAATTCCGGCATAAGCTGCCCAAAGAGGAACTCAAGAGATTTACTAAAGAGGTTAGCAAAAAGCTCGTAAGTTCGGATTATAAAAACAATCGTGTTGATGATCCCACTTCGATTACGGAGAAGCAAGAGAGAAAGGTAAAGGCCTACGTCAAAGACTTCCTCGACCGTGCTGTTCAGAAATATCAGGAGCATGAGAAAAAGAAGTCAGAACGTGCCATAAATGATCCTTCAAAACCCTTGCAGCATCTAGTGGTCAATGGACAAGATACTCGTATGGAGACGCCTGTGAGCAGGGACAATGGGGACATCGCTATGACCGATGATGAAGAAGCAGGAGCAACACCAGGTAGTACTGACCTCAAGAGGAAGCGCCCCGGCGATGACCTCGTCGGATCTCCTGAAATGACGCCATCCGAAACACCATTCTTGAAGCGGCTCAAGGAAAACGAGGACGATGCGCCGAGTCCACCTCCGCCACCTCCTCCTCCTCCACCCCCGGATAATGAGGATACGTTCGATAGTATCATGACAGAACAAGATACTGCTCTTGAGGAGCAAGAGACAGCTCTTCTCGAGCAACAGGAGGAGGAGCGACAACGATTGCGGGAGGAGGAGGCTGCCTTGGAGAGGGAAAATGAGCTTAATATGCTCGAATTCCAGAGGGCTGAACTCAATAATGAGGCGACGAGCGTGATGAGCCATTAGCCGTCTACAGCTATGTATATGGCATCATTCTCACGGCGCCTTACAATGGACATATAATCGAACTGCCTCTTGATGCTATATAATTACTCGTTTTTTATCTGGTTGGCTGGTTCCAGTTGCGTGCATTTTCAGGGCTGCATCCTCTACTACAGGGAAGGATAAATGATGATGGCGTTTCATTCTTGTTTTCCACCATACCCCCAGCTTATTTTAAAGCTGTCCATGAAGCCACTGTCACACAAGATAGTAGCAATTCACCTCATACTCAATAACTACTTGAAGCACAACTACCCTACCTGCCTACATACACATCCATGTACTTGTAATCCTTTAGGCGAAAAACTATGCATGAGCTACTCGAAGGCGCAGAAAAGTCTATTGTCTCTTTGTTTATGGAGATCCGCTCTGGAGCGTTTGCTTTTCCTCCAATATTGACATACGATCCATATTGAGCCCGCAAGGAAGAAGATGAAGCGCCCAGCAGAAAAGGCGAGAACGCCTGACCCGAATGAAAAGGGTAGCCAAACCCTAGGGCCAGCGAAGCTATCACCTCCCCACTGGGTCCCGCGCGCACGCGCATGTGCTGTTCATTTCTTTGACCTTGGCGCTGTTTGTCCCCGGCCCGCTTGTGTATATCGAGGACTGCTTAAGGGGTGTTCAAAATATTTTCTAATTAATTATCATTGGCGTTTTTTTTTTTTTTTGCCTGTGAAGAAAGGGATGGGATGGACGGATTGCAAAGAAAGAAAGGAAGCAGGGAGTAAAGGAAATTCCTCCCCGCGCCCCTAAAAACTTTGAATTTTCCGATTCGAATTGAGTCGGGAAATATATCGTGTGGTATGCACATGCACATCGCATATTAGGGCCTGGTTGTGTGGGGAAGGATACTGCGCTCACTTCGCTGCTGCCTTGGTATTTTTGAGCAATCGTACCGATTATTTAGGTAGGTATTCTGATGAGTTGAGCTGGTGGTGTTGGTTGGTATTTTTTTGATTGATATTGTACATAAGTGACCCGACCAACCATCCAATCAGCCAGTCAATCAATCAATCAACCAATCAATCAATCAGCAGAGAGAGATAGGTAGGCAGAGCAGAAGAAGTCAATCAATCGCAAATGCTACCCCGGGTTGTACGTGTATATTGTATGTAACAACAATATTGTTGAACATACCTACTATATCTGCAGTTATATATGATACGTACATACCTAGGTTAGGTAGTCTACATTCGCGCAGGAGATAAGATAAGACGGGAAGGTAAGTGCATGCAACCCACGGAAAAGAGTGTTGGTGATGATTTATTTGTGATCGATGATTGATGATATATCAATTTCCCCATTTGGCAAATGCGCCCCTTGCCTAGCGGTGCGGGTACCTTACCTACCAACCAACCAACCCTAGTAAAAACTACCTTGTGTTTATGATCCGATTATAATATCCCATCCGCTTCAAGTTGCCTCCGCTATTTATTCCCGTGTTTCCCAAGTATCATACATACCGCCGCTTTGTATGCTTCCGTAATGTCGCAGGTATAAAAATAAAAATGCCTTTCTCCCATCCCCCGCATCCCTTCTCCCCTCCATCCATCCATCCCTCTCTCTCTAAAATGTCTGCCGCCTAAATCAATAGTAGGGGCCAAAATCCATCCCCTTCGATAAGTCTACGTGAAAATTTCCAGCAAATCCCTGCGTAAATGACAGAAACTGAGTATCTATCTGCCTCTCATATTTTCTTCATATCTAGCTTGAGATGATCTTCTCAATGGCTGCGAGAAGAATATCTGCATGCTGCTGCTCGAAGATGAGCATAGGTCGCAGGCGCACGGCGCTGGCACCGCTTCCGCCGATGTTGATGCCGTGTGCCTTGGCCTTCTTGAGGAACTCATCGCGCTTCGGGTTGTCGAAGGCGATGAAGGTACCCTGACCCTTTCCACGGAGGTTTTGAATCTGGCCGGGATATTTACTCGCGAGAGCCTCCAGCTTGCTGAACAGGTAGTCGCCGACCTTGGCGGTGTGCTCCACGAGGTTTAGACGCTGGATCTCGTCAATGATTCCGCGGAAAAGCAGAGCGCGGGCTGGGTCGCCCATCCACGTGTTGAATTGACGGTATGGCTTGTTGGGCCGCAGGCTCGGGTCGCCAAAGTAATAACCAGCTGTTTGCGCCTTCTTGCTGAACGTCACCATGTCTGGGGGTGTGGGAAGGTCCCAGTGCTCATGGGCCCAGAATTTACCCGTGGCACCGACACCCGTCTGCACTTCGTCGACGATCAGCAGAATGTCGTGCTTTTTGGTGATCTCCCGCAACTTCCGGAAGAAGTCGGGCGAGGCGTGGTTATCACCGCCTTCGGACTGGATTGGCTCTACCACCACAGCGCATGGGGGCACATGGTAGTTCTTGATGAGATGCTCGACCTCAGCAAGAGACTCGGCCTCAGCTTTAGCATTCTCCTCAACATGCTCTTCTAAGGGATACTTGAGTTGAGGGAAGGTGGCTTGTGGCCAGTCGAAGGCAGGGATATCCATCTTGTGAATAGGCTTGGATCGGGTTGTCGACAGGGAGCCAAATAGACGACCATGGAAGGCAGTCTTGAAGGATAGGATAGAAAGTTGCGATGCGCCGGGACTCTGGTTGTTCATGGAAGATTCGAGCTCCTCTTCGGTAAACTCGATGGCGGGACCGCCTCGCTCCTTTTGGCGTCGCCACATGAAGGCTGCTTTGTACGCCGTCTCATTCGCATCCGAACCAGCCATGGCCGTGAAAACTTGGTTCAATCCGGGAGGAGCCACCTTCAGTATGCCGGTCTCTAGGATTTCAGCCCAGTCGTGGGAAGGGAAGTTGCCGAGTGCTGGTCGGTTAATGATGGAAGAGACCATCTCAGGACTTTCAGCAACCTTCTTCAAAGCGGGATTGTTGTATCCAATCGGTATGGAAGCAATTTGCGCATATCTGGACGAAACAAGTCATTAGTTTCAACACGACAGCCGGCAGGATAATTGCCTACAGGGTAGCGAGCAGAACTTACACATCAAGCAGTTTGTTTCCGTCTGGGTCTACGATGTAGTTGCCCGTGCTCTGTGTGTAGTCGGTAAGCATGTTCAAGCTTCGAGTGTCGAAGACCTTGTCCAGCTTGGCGATCACCTCCTTCGACTTGGGACCAGGTATCTCGGTCTTCAGGACCGGACCCTCTGGCTCGCCTTTATAGAAGGAAGAGGCCATTCTGATGCTTGAAGCTGCTGCTTGTCTCGCCAGTACCGGAGCGGCCGTGGGTCGAGCAGTCGAAGACACAGCTATCCGCTTGGTAGCAGAAGAAAGAGGGCGGAGAGCCCCTCCCACGCTGAGTGCCGCCATCTTTAATGGAGGGGTATTGGCGAGTGGTAAGGAGAGATTGGGTGTAGAGGGAAGAGGGAGGAGGAGGAGGATAGAAGAGAAGCGAAGAGAACGATCGTGATCTCTGGTTGGATTGGGTTGTGCTATGCTGTGCCGCGCCAGGAGCAGATCTGCGTCACTGCAGATGATATTGACGATGGCGATAGTCAATTGGCTCGTGAGAAGGGGGGATACAGGCAGGGAGAGATGAGGGGAGATGAAGGGAGACGAGGAGAGAAGAAGGAAGAGAAGAGCAGAGTGGCAGCGCCGGTGTCCGAGAAATAAAGATCACTGGCAGTTCCGAGCAGCCTCCGCGGTCCACGAACCGACACCTGAGTCGGTCTCCTTTGCTGCTCTCGGCTGGGTATGCTGGTTCTGCTGGTTTATGCTGGCTCTGCTGTGTTCTGAATTTGGTTGTACCTACCTTATCAATGATTCCCGGACGTGGGGCGCGAGCGTGGTCTCGCCAATCGACTGGTTTTGCGGGGTTTTGCATTGGGACGGTGATTGGCGTGCTGCGGGACTACGTCAGCGATCCTCACCCTAAGCAGACTCTAAGCAGACGCCAACCACACTCTAACCAGACTTTAACCGCGCATCCTCGCATGCCGTCGCCGACAGACAGACAGACAGGCAGACGTGCAGCCGACTTGCAGCGATGTGCCATGTCCAACGTCTGAACGCCGCGATGCCTGCGCCGATAATGTGTGACCAGCTCGTCCAGGTGCAGGCTAAGTGCCCGGCCGGTTCGTGGGCCCACAGCGCTTGCAGTGCTTAAGCAGCATGCCTAGCAGGCTTAGCAGGCTTAGCCAGCGTTGCGCAGGGGTCTCGCAGGGGTCACCAGATTCCTCCCCGGCAGCCCAGCCGGACTTGGGTCTCGCTGGGGGCCGCTGGGTTGCCTCTTTAGGCAATTGCATGCGGCTGCTGACCTTTCTATTAGTCGACCGTCCTGTCAGAGCCTGTCACAGCAAATCCCGTGCAGCATTTCGAGTTCGTGGGAGATACGGACACGTCCCGAAGTCGGCAGCGCAGGAGATATCGTCGGTCCAAAGTTTTCAGGCGTTATCTACCCGTCCTGGTATTCTTGCTCCTGTGCCGAGGAAGCACGGTAGCTAGCCGAACGCAGGGAATGGCTGGGCCTGGCTGGGTTCGGTTGGTCGCACATTGAATCAGCAAATCGCACATGGATCAACATGGTCCAACATGGACATGGACCGTCGATCTCCCTCCCAACAGGATGCTCGGCACTTGTACGGTTACACGAGGTAAACCGCGGGCTGGCTGTCGAGTCGTTACATTGCATGCCCTATTGCCTCGTCATCCGCGTCCCAATACCACCACACGGCTTTGTGTAGGTACTTCCTCTCCGTCATCATCCCACCTGCCTCATCCCGTGTTGAGTGCTAGGTATATATTTCAAGTCGGTCAAGTGGGACACAAGGTCTTGGATAGACCAAGTAACAACACTTTCAAGTTTCAAATTTGACCATCGGTTTTGCTACTATCAACTATGTTATCGCCACCCGTCGACGAGCTCTCCATAACCCCGCTAGCCACTGACCGGCACGTATATTAAAGTGGCTTCTTGGCTTCCTAAGGAGGTGTTGGCGTCAACGGCCGTGCTCTTGTATTGCGCGCATGATTGGCCCGAGGTATCGACGGCTGTAAAGGTCCAGATGTTACATATAATCGCTCATGACACAAAACCTCACCAATTGTTGAGATGGACTTTGCGAAGACGCAGCGGAATGTGGGACTCATCTGTGCGAGGTCATCGTGACCACTTGCGTATGCGCCCGACACCGCTCTCAGCTCCCCGCCAGTGAAGGACATCAGCTCGAAATTGCTATCACTACAATCGGCGGTAAGGAAATACGTGGCTGTTGAATTCCACGCAGGCGGCTACATCCACGAGACCTAGTCGGAACCTAGCGTCGATTGCGCGGTGGACCGAGAATGAAGATGCGCCGTTGATAGTTGAGGGCATCATCTGCCGGTCCGCCACACCGACCGACGCAAGCAGCGTCTGCAATTTTCCTTATTGCGAAGCGTCATAATTTCGGGCATGAGCGGTTTGCAACATACTATGGTTACGATGCTCATTGCTAGCGACACCACCAATCTCTGTCAGAACGAAGCGTGTTGACTCTCACGGCATCGCCGGTCGAGAGCTGTCATTAGTGGTATGGAGTATTCAAGCCGTTAGCATTTGAGTCATCAATGTTCAAGTCATCAGCATTTGAATTACCGTCGGTCAACCCATCGTCTATATTGTTGTCGTCGTTGCTATTATTATTCGCCACGCCATTGCCAAAAAAAAAAAAAAAATTACTTCAAAATGACAAAAGAGAACAACAGTCCAGTGTGTTCCTTTTCACTGAAAGCGAGGCGATCTTCCTGACCGATGATGGTGAAATATCCACTTGCGTAGATATACTACATAGACCGTCGGGAATCAATCGAGCCAGGCGAGCAGCAGGTGTACCGTCGAGAATTCGATAGCCGAGGGAATCGAACCCCTTAACTTCCATGCCAGCTATATGACTGGAGTGTTGGTGCCGCTGAGCCAACGACCCAACTTGGCGACAGTACGGTTACATATTTGGTACTATATCTACCGCGTGGTTGTCGTGCAGTGGACGCGTGTTGCTGGGTGGCGAGGCACGTTCGGTACCTGAGGTTATAATGGGCGTGTTGAGACGCGATTTCGGCGCGTGTGATGCGTTTTTTTTTCTACGTGATTCCGCCGTTGCCCTCTGTATCAAGGTTATTGCGATTGGAATTGGCTCCCTCGCTCTGAAAATGCTTGGAAACGGGGGTTCCTATATCCCGGCGAACGACATCAAAGTTGACTGCGATAGCAACGATAAAAGTCACGAACGCAACAATACCACAATGAACTGCGTGGTGGGATGGAACGAGTGCTATACAAAGAAAATACCAGTGTCAATGGTCGGCAGTCTACAATACTACGCAAAAGACCGGATGAACGAAGAAGATTGTGGCCTAGCCGAAAGAATATAAGTCAAGGCAGAGGAAAGAAACAGAAACGCGGTTGTAGTAGGTCTATGACGTAGATGTGTAGACATCTAGGTATGATTATTTCGCGGTATTGACAGTAGCATTCAAATTTATGAACCTAATCGCAAGCCTTGCTAAAAAATTTCGTAGCTATGTGATTACTCATAATCGAAGAGCGCAATGTAGGTTCGCTTGGGATTTTCGTCTCATTATGCCTTTCTCAAACCACGGGAGAGTTGTAGGATATGGTTTGACGCGAATTGAGAAGATGGTGTTGAATGGGCATTCTTGGTATTTTACTGAACTAGAAGAGGCCTATCTCATCTAGCTGATCAACCACCTTCGATACGGAAGCGAGCACTTCGTCCCCTACTCTCTACTTAGGTGGTATGGAAGGCAGAACGACAGGGCGCTGCAACAAAACACGACACACATTCAACGGTCTACCATCCAGTCAGCCTCAAAATACTCTGGAACATAAAAAAACAATAAAATCTTCGAGGATATATTCACGAGCGCCTTTTAACTCCGGGTTTCCTTATCCCAATTTGTCTAATCTATTCAGCTATATGGTTGGCTTTCAAACTTGTAGGAAGGACTCTGGCGGTTAATAACATGTGTCGATTTTCGTTGCGCCCACACTGGTAGGATCTTCGATGATGTGCAGGTTCACAGGTTCCCAATAACTACAACTAATTAACCGGCCTCGTCACCTTGGAGAAGTTTTTCGTTTCTCACGGACAAGTGCGGTGATGTGAGGCAAGGAGGTGGGAAGCTAGGCATAGAGAGACGGTGTTCAACCAGGTTCTCGGCCCTATAGACATATGCGCACATGAGCCAAGGTTCTTCGCTTCGACCCAGCGCCATGGCCATCAGAGAATTGGTATCGCTTGCGATATTCAAATGTTTCTCAATCTGCGTAACACCCAATGCTACATGACCCATCACCAAGACAGATCTTGGCACATTTGCAAAAACCACGTCTCCATTAGTCTGGATATGGAATTTCTAGTTGCAGGTAATAGACGACCTTGTCTAGACTCAAGACCCAGACGTAACTACGGTCCATAATACTTTGGCAAGCGAGTAATTCCTGCACCGTCTATGATAATGACAAGACCGAGATAGTCCCTCACGATGGAACGGTGTCTTGTCGGTGAGGCTAGAGACCGAAAATGACGCATCTGCACCCTCGTCAAACAAGTCAGCGAGGCCATCTCGGGACATTATCTGATTTCGGACTAAATGCAGAAGGATATGCCCTCGGACCTCTTTTCATTATTGTAAAATTCTCGCGCTTGTACTTGTGGGTGCCAAAGTCTATTGAATACACTTTGTACTGTATAGAAATCGCATCTTCTAACGCCAGTGTCTTGCGCACTGAGTAGGAACAGGAGAGCAAGAGATAGCCGTAGAAATCACATCATATACCCCGGTGCCATTTCTTGGCCAAGATCGAAACAAAGGCTCTTGTGGAAAAGGCTCAACGGAACTTTCGCCCCTGCCATGTACACTTATACCATTTACGAAAAGCTTAAGTTGTACCTCGCTGATCAGGAACTAACTAGGGGCGCTGTTGGGAGGCAAGCAAGGTTTTTTCAGGACTCTTATTGTCAGGATCATGAGTAAAGTATACTAACAACATAACAAGAAGAAAAACTAAAGTATAGCTCAAGCACAACCAAGACTCAACTAACGTACGACTGAACAATGATTATGTTTGATAGGGAAACGGTGAAGGTATCAGGCCAATGTTGAAAATACCGGAGGTGTGGATGTCCTCGTTAAACACAGGCGACTAAAGCTCCGACGCTAGGTCCAAGCGCAACAAATATTGCCAGCGATAGCTATATCATGAAAGTAAACAGATCGTCATAAACAGCGAATGTGAGTTGAAAATGTGCTCAATCTTCGTACGATGCAGGACCCTGACTGAGCATGGGAGTATATGACGCCATCTCTACACTATGGAGTTACTTGCAGTTTATATCGCATAGTTGACGAGGCCAGCAACTAACCGACACTTCTTCTCGACGGTTATCGATTTCCACCCGCCGTTGCACAACCACCAAGAAAGTATCCTACTTAAGTAAGTAGACTGACTCTTGGCCAAAACATGCCGGCTGTGCATCTGTCAAGTACAATTCACAGAAAGGGACAAGGCCTACCAATGGCCGACCGAGTTCGGGAATGAACAAGCCGTTCATGCATCCCAAGCCATTGCACATTCATCACGGTCCGGCGTCTTGGTCGATCTCTACTCATGTGCCGGCATGGAAACGCAGACGCACACGTGTGGGCGGGCGACGCGTTGTCCGTGCTCATG